AAAGCCGAGTTCCAATTCCAGTTGGATTCGTTATATTCATTTACATACAAAATACCCTTGGGAAATGTATGAATCCACCCCCACTTTTCCCAGCTACAGTTTAATTAATAAGATTTGTATCACTAAATCATTTCCCCCCCAACCGCCAAATTCTTATAATATAAAAATTTTCTGGCTTTAAAAAACCTGCAAAGGGTTGATAAGCCATAGAAAATGAATCAATCAATTCTTTGTCCCTGTTCTTCCATCTACTTGTTAAGTAGGTTACTTGCTGTTTATGGCCATGTGCATGACTACAGTTATTGGTTCTGACACCTGTAATCAATATCAGTGGTTTGTCTGCTCTTGACAGCTCACAAATTAGGATATGGTCTAATTTGTTGTGCATTCATAGATTTTGTGGTGTGACATAAAGGATTCTTCAACCGCCAGGTTTCTGTTGACTGAAATGGAACATCTTCAATTTCTGTGCACAATCAGTAATGACCCCAATGCCTATTTAGCATTCAACAACTTTTTGTTTATTAAAATGACATGGATAACTGGCAAGAAAAGTTTGCTGTGGCTTGTAGTATTCTCTTTATGCAGTTATAATACTGTAATGTAGTAATTGTGTCTGTGTGTTCATTCATTGTCTACCAAACAAAATTACACAGCAGCCAGTGGGCATCTGACTTTCATCACTCTTTGAATAAACAATAAGCCTTTATGTTGAGATTGATGTACAATTAATTTCTTGCAATTAATCTCAACTTCCCAAGATTCTTTGTCTGAAGGCCAGATGTCTCTCCTGCTAACAAGTGGCTCAAGACCAAGAATTTGACACTTCCTATAATTCAGTGTAAAATTAACTGAATAGTATGAAATGAAAACCTCTTCATTTAGTTTGACCAACTTAGATTTTATCTAAGAAACCATTAATCATGTCAGCTGCAGGCTAGGTGGGCTGGGCAGGGATTGGATGAATTTTAGTTATTAGCCAAAAACCCATTGTATAAACATTTATTTTTTAATAATAATTCAAATTAATTCAGTAGATTATGTTATTTTCCTTATTTAAATAACTTTCTAATGATTGTATTTATAATAAAAACTAATTCAGCAAACTTACTATTTTGCATTTGTTTAAATAATTCAGTGCAGTTTTAAGAAAATCTAATGAAACAGATTATCTTGACTTATTTAGATAATTCCATAAAATAATTTTTAGGCTCCGTTTGACTAATTTGTATTAATGTGTAATGACAGGCAACAACAATATATGATCACCTGGGCCTAAAATTATAGAATTCAATAAAAAAATTTAATATTTTGAAAAATGATGTTTGCTCATTTGTCCATGGTTAGAATATGAGATTAGTTCATGAATTTGGTGACATAGTGGTTGTGAGTTCAATCCCTGAGTCAGATAGTGTGTACTTGGACTCAGTGTAAACTGACAAGCAATAACTGAACAGTACTAAAAATAAGAACTAGGTGAGATATCCCTAGACATAGGCAGTAGAATGAGAAAAGTCTACCACACATAGATTAAATAAAGAGTTGAGTTCAGAATTTCCAACAGATAAAAGCCAGAGGGCACAATGGCTAAAACGTTGATAACAACAAAGATGAGGACAATAGTTTGAATATAAATAATGTAAACCAGTGGTTCCCAACCTTTTTGGACATGCCCCACCTAAGCATCTCTAAAATTCTGATGTCCTCTCCTGTAACATATAATTCTTAATAAAAAAGTGAACTCCTTTTCAAGTGAGAGGAGCGTAAAATAGCCATTAACTTTGTTTAAATAAGCTTCCAAAAAACATGGCATCCATGAAAGAGAAAAATAAAAGCACAGTTGAAGTACTGAGGAAGAAATTGTTAAAAAAAAATTATATATAATTTTTTATATTTTGTCTCCACTATCCCAGATAATCAAAAGTTGCTGGGAAATACTTAATCTCAAACCAGACCTAAAAAAAATTGTTTGATGAACCTGGCCTTCTAGCATATCATAGGCCTAAGAACCTAAAGGAAATTATAGGTAGTAGCCACATTTCAGGGGATAAGGTAATCCATAATAAAACAAAAACAACAGGATTATCCTAACCATGTAACAACAAAAGGAGCTTATGCTGTCACCACATTAGACACACCAATTCATTCACTAGCTCAGTCACTAAATCTACTTTCAAAATCTACCACAACTATAACTGTAGAAGTCATAACATAATTTACCCCCTATGCCAAAAACAATATGTAGGAAAATCTGAATGGCCCTTTCACTACAGAATTAATAATTATTGCAATTGAATTAAGTCAGCTCTACATGAAAGATTATTACCTGTAAAACAACATTTCTGCTTACAGAAACACAATTTCAAAACCCATGCCAAATTCACTATAATTGAGAAAATAGAAAAGTTCAGAGTAGATAGCATTAGACAGATATTAGAGGCCATGAAGATAAATGAATACTACACCTAAAAATGCTCCATCCAGACAGGCTAAATCACAAATTTAACAACATAGATAGAATTAATATATAACCCCACAAATCAGGCCCTATCCACATTTCTCACCCACGCAAGACAGACATGCTTGCGGAGGGGTTGAGGCCTCACACTTATACACAAACCCATACTAATATACACATTTACACACATGATACTCACTCACTCCCTAATGAGCTAAATGATAACACACACCCATACTAATATACACACTTACACACATCATACTCACCCAGTCCCTAAGAACCAAATAACACACACACTTAACAAAGACACATCCCCTTTCCAGGAACCAATAAAATTGTCAAAATGACCAAGGGAATTCAGAGCAGCATGAATCCATCCAGCCTTTATTTTAAATAATAACTTAAAAGAGACTGACCAACACAAGGACTAACCAAAATTCATGTTAAAAAAATCAAAAAATCAAATGTAAACTACAGATAAAGTTCATTTTCTCCAAGTCATTCATTTCTGTAGTTCACTGCTACTAACAAGCAGAAATCTTTTTCTCCTGATGATAGTCAAAAAATCTAATTGAAATATAAAAAAAGGAAAGAATGTTAATATACAACCCAGTGTATCTAAAGATTTTAATTTAATATTTTTATTGTTCAAAATGTATATTATTTTTCTTAACAATTTCTTAGTAATTATATACAGTACATATGTAAATTTGGGCATACATACACACAAATATTTTTGTCTTCATACTGTATGTAATAACTCATTCTCAAATTACTCCTCCCCACAGGTGTAAATAGTAACTCTTCATACCAGAAATTCAGACATACTATTTTTTCACTTGTTTAAATAATTTGGTACAGTTTTAATAAAATCTAATGAAACAAGATAATTTTGTTAAAAAAAAAAAAAAAAAAAAACTTTCAGCTCTGTCTGATGAATTTGTAGTAATGTGAAATGGCAAACAACAAAAATATAAGATCATAACTTACATGGCTGGGCCATGTAAGTTATGATACAATACAATTTTACAATACTGTAAAATAATTTAATATTTTTAACACATATCCAAGTATTTTTGAGAAAACATAATTAAAAGATTGTTTAAAAAATCAAGATTATATTTGTTTTACATGTTCTTTAAATGTAAATACTGATTTTTTTTTTCTGACTTACAAGGCAGAAATTGTCTTTCTATACAAATGCAAAATCTTTATCAATAGATACATTGCTTATATATGGCAATTTGAAAAATTTTAATTAAAAATAAATGATACAGGTGAAAGAGTCATTAAAACATGCTTATAAAAAAAACTTACACAAATGCTACTTCTTATGTTGTAAACAAATATATATATATATATATATATATATATATATATATATATATATATATATATATATATATTATATATATATATAAACAAGAGAGACAAACTTCTCATCTATGCCTTTCTCCTCCACCTCCCAATCAATGAACTTCAGATGCGATGGAAAAAATCTGCAGGAAAATAAAATTCCAAATCGTTTGTGATGTATTTCAAACTTGCAAGCTTAGCGGAATGAATTGTATTAGTTCTCAAAATGAACACTTGGCAGCAGTGCTGAGCCTTTCAATTGTAAACAAAGACAGAAAGTACGATACATTAGTCTGTATGTGAGATAGTTGTGAGAAGTATATTATTTTTGTTATTTTGATTAATATATCTATATTAAGTATATATTTATTTATGCAATATATACATGTTTATAGTATTTACATTATGATCATATCTGATGGTAGTTACTATAATGGTTTTATAACTCAAAAGTAATCCATTCCCATCTACAGACAAACAGCTTTAATGGAACAACCCCTCAGCACACCCATTAGTCTGTTCATGAGAGGTTTATCTGTGTGTGTATGAATGTGTGTGTATGTATGTATGTATGTATGTATGTATATATATATATATAAAAAGTCTGATAACTAAATGATTGTTTATGTGTTAACAATACAAGCTGTTTTGTTCTAGTAGTGTAAAGTAGGAACATACAGACAAAATTTAGCTTTACATGAATTTTGAGGTTTATCCTTTGTTTCATGTTTAGGATTGGGTTTCCAGTTTCTTCTAAAGTCTTTTCATTCTCTTTCATTTCTGGTGGCCTCTTGTATCTTGGTGACATTATGGTGCCTCTTACTCTATAACCCTCTACCTTGGGTGGCTCTTAGGCCTTGTATGGATTGAACATCTTAAAAGATATTGGAGTTAGTTGATTCCTGTTAAATTAAACCAACATTCAATCCTTTCTGTTTCTATTTCAACCATTCACTTATGGGTTCTAATTAATTCTTATTTGTTTTTTTTTTCTCTCATCAGTCTTCATGATTTTTCTCATCTGCTTTAATTAATTTGTCCCAATACTAAAAGCTGCCCTAAAAGGTATTTTCATGTACAAACAGGGAGATCTTATCCAGTTATACTGTTTCCCCTGCCACTGCTAAGAAAATAAATGTTTCTCTTGTCTTACTTAAACTCTTGTCATTGACTTTGTTATCAGAAAGCGTTGATTGATGTTGAAGATATGTACGATGGTGAAGATATCACTGCTGAGGAAGAGAATGCCGAAACACGTCAAATGATAGTGGAACAAAATAGAAAGAAGAAAAAATCTGGTGGATTCCAGTCAATGGGTAAGTAAGGCTGATTTTTAGACCATTTTCTATGTAAAAGGGTAAAAAAAAAAAAATCTGTGCTTTTTCTATAACATGTTTAAGTTTGTCACCCTGCTTTCTGCCTGTGTACTTATAGTTGGTACTATTGTGGTCATGTGAAGAAAGTTTGAGTTTGATTGTGCAAGTTGTCTTGCTGCTGTTACACTGTAGATATGGTTGTTCCACTAGCAGTGTGAACCAAAGAGGAACAACGAGCAGTAATATGATTTCTCTGGTCATAAGGTGGCAGGGCCAAAATGGAGGCTTTTAACACAATATGGTGGCAGTACACTGCCACATATAGGGTGCGATGTGTAAATTGTCACCATTTTATATTTTTAGTTTCATGCATACAAGTAGTTTGTTTTTGATTTTTGTCAACCACACAGGCCAGTTGAGAAAAAAGAACGCCACAATGCAATTCACTCTGCCAGAAATTTGGAAACAGCATGCTGTACTGCTTGGCATTTACACCGAAAGCTCCAATACAAACATTTTAGTGTGTTTGGGTGTCAATCTGAGAACAGTGTAGAGGAATCAGAAAGAGATAGATGCATGTAATGGTGATTACAAAGCTACGTCATCTTGGATAACTCACTCTGATCATTCTGAATTTGTTGATGAGGGTCTCAGACTCAACACTGGGGCCTACATAAAATTTCTTGAGGAGATAGGCCTGCCCTGAGTCAAGAGGGTAGCTGCTAGAAGATCCTGTCTGGCAACAGGACTCTGCACCATACCACACAAGCAGGAGAACCCAGTTATGGCTGTCAGACAATTTCTTCAGCCACATCACTGCTTTCACCTGGCCTTCTAACTCCCTAGACTGCAACACCCTTGATTATTATATATTGGCTGCATTTCAGCAAGAGACCAACAAAACTTCTTGTAACACCAAAGATGAACTGAAGGCAAGGATTATGGCAGCATTCACCAACTTAATCAAGGAAACTATCCAGAAGAATTGCAGGAAATTCCAAAGTTGTCGGGAGACTGTGGTTGAAGCCAATGGCAATTTTATTGAATCAATTTACTCTATAGTGTTTAAAGATATTTTTGTATAATTTTGGTAAATATGTCTGTTAAAATGAAATGTCCATGTTATTTTCATTTAGATAACAATTTATCCATTGTGCCCTGTAGAAGTGTGTATGAGTGGATCAAGAACTTTAAAAGTGTTCAGACAAACATGACTGATTGGCATAATTGTTACAGTTTTTTTTATTTCTATTATTAACTAAGTTTCGCTAAATTACAAAAAAAATGAAAATAACACTGACATCTCATTTGACCCAGGGCAGCACTACCTTCTCAAGGCTCTTGATGTAGGCTTCCATGTTGACTCTGAGGTCCTGTGGGGAGATAAATGGAGGCATAATGTTGTCATCACTAGTGATCACTCCAAACACCATGATGTTGACTGTATATTTCATCGAAACTCTGCACTGTCCTTAGATTGATACCCAAAAACTCTGAAATGTTTGTATGAGAGTTTTTAGGCACGAATGCCAAGCAGTACATCATGCTGTTTCCAAATTTGCCAGAATTGCATCATGGTGCTTTTTTTTTTCTCACAGACGGTGCCCAACTGACCCCACTATACTGTGCAGTTGATAAAATCAAAAATACAATGTAAAATTAAAAATATATAATGGCGACAATTTACTCATCGCACTCTGTAGGTGATCATGACACTCTGTATGCTGCTATTTAACCCATAGTTGATGGGGGGAGAAAATAAGATTTTGTTACCTTTCCCAAGAGCCTTAGAGCAAAAGTGAATGCCACAGACAAGACTTGTTGATTCCACTTTCTATGCCGATAAGCATTACATTGCCAGTGCTTTTTTGTGTGTGTGTGTGTGTGTGTGCAGATCAGATTATTATAAATTACATTCTTTTCATAAATCAAATAAATGCACTGTATAATCTGAATGTATTTTTTGTATTTCATTTAAATGGTATTAATCATATAAGAATAGTTTTCATCTACACTGAGCAATTGTTTTTTTTTTTTTTTTTTTCATTCCATAAATGCATATATTATTTAAAATGGCTCTACTAAAGATTTTTGGTATTTTTATCCTCCAGGATTATCAAAGAACGTGTTCAAGGGAGTCATTAAAAAAGGATACAAGATTCCAACCCCAATTCAAAGAAAGGTAAATATTTATCTGTTCAAATATTTCAAACGAAAAAAAAAATAAATAAAAATAAAGGATACCTCTACCAGTAACAAAATCTTTAAGCCACAATAATACATAAAATAGTGGTTATTTTCTAAGCATAGCTTAGATGTGGCACAAGGCCGAAAGTATGGGTCACCTACTGAGAATCAAACTCACTTTGGTTGTAACTAATCTAGCAAGACAAGCTTGCTAACCATTACACCACACCGAGGTGCCCCTAATACATAAAATAGTGATAACCATTTATTTTATTCCCCACTCACAGAATGATTTTGATCTCCAAATTAATAGACATACAGAAATATATGTAATTTAATTATTATATCATAAAAGGGTTTAAAATCTATAACTTCATATCCTTTCTTGTTGCCCTTTCATATATAGTCGGAATTATATTTTCCAATATATCGTCAGCTTTATCTTGTATCCAAGGATATAATTTCTTTGTTGATCATTTCCTTTATGATGATGATGGTGTTAATGATTAGGTTCACCACCAACATACAGGTTCATCACTAGGAGACTCTAGTTTCACCAAAATTTAATCACGTCATCCCTTCCCTATCGTCGTTTGGCTTTGCAAGAGTTGGTTGTGGTAAAAGAAAATCAGAATAGAAGAAAATGCCGATGATGTGAACTTGTATAAGATGAACCTCAACTTGCCAGGAAGTGAGCTGCACACTTGATTTCATGACATTCCTCTGTTACATATATAGAATGACACATGCAGAATCCAGTTATGAAACTGCAACAGACTGCCGCTATCATAATTTCGAGTGGCACCTTCTGTAGCATGTCCATCTTTTATCCATTGGTTCAGCCATTGAGATCTGTTGTAATAGTTATCCATTTGTTCCGCCATTGGGGTTTTTTGCAATATAGTAATATCACAGTTATTGTTAGACTTGTATACCAATATGGTATTGGAGAAATTGAAGGTTACCTAATATTGGTTGTTCCCCACTCCCAACTTGATAGATTCTAATAAGCAGGCAGGGCTTTGTCACAACTACTGATTAAAATGAACTCGACTCTGGAACTCGGTATAAACTCTTTCAATAGTTGTTGTATCAGTCGCCTGGAGAATGCTCATCAATCTAAACAAAGAATTTCTTCTCTTAATGTAACTGTCTATAACTAGAACAGTCTACCCCAGCGAGTGAAATAAAGGGTTCAGTTTGACATTCCAACCACCTGATGAAGGTCGGAGCATACAATGGCCGAAATGTTGTGATAAATATGGCAACAAAGATGAAGATGATAGTCCGAACAATGTAAATAGTGTTCTCTTAATGTGTTTTTGATATTCTACACCATCCACCCTCCAACAATCACCATTCCAACAGTTGTTCAAACTATTGATCTGTTTTTTTGTAGTAGATTTCAGTATAGATTTATTTATTTTTTTTATTAATGGTGGAATTAAGAACATGCATATTTAAAAATATGAAATTGTCAATGTTACATGGATTATTCTTAGCTGAATTCATTGATATATTTGCCACCATTTCTTTTTTGAATAAACTCCCTTCACACCTGGTCTCATTTTATCCCAAATAGTAATTGCCAGGATTTTTCTTCTTTTTTTTTTCTTCTCTCCTGTTGGTGTGTGTGTGTGTGGGGGGGGATACACCGTATTCCCTGAAGAGAATAAGAACTTTCAAAAAGCAAGCAAATGCTAAAAGACTGAAATACCTATCCCCAAACCAAGTAAATGCCTATTGACTCCAGTATAAATGACCAATATGACACCTATCCCTGAACCAAGTCAGTGTATATAGGCTCAAATATTAAAACAAAAAGAGAAGAAAAGACTGATTTTAACATGAAATGACTTAAAAAGAAAGGTTGTCATAAAATCACCGAGCCAAACCCAGCCCTTCTTTTTTCTGGCTTCCAATTGTTATATATCTCCTCCATCTTTTTGTTTTTTAAGCAGTAAAGAAAAAAGGTAATATTGTTTTTTTTAAAAAAAAAAAAAAAAAAAATGTAACTATTAATAAAAAGCTATAAATATTTTATGAAGTGGTACAAAAAAGTTCACAATCTGACCATGAGAATTTGATAAGTAAAATATTAGATTAAAAGAAAAAGAATCAATAAAGACACTGGCTTAAGAAACTCAAAGATCTTTTTCACTATCTTGCACGATTATATTTACAATAGCAAACATGAGTTGGTGATTGGTTTGAACTAACATCCTCATCTTGCTTTTTAGAACTATTTGGGCTGATCTCCCCTTTAAACTTAAATCCTTTCAGAGTATTGTCAAATGAAACCCATATTTTGACTCCTTTTCTTTTACAGGATCAGATTGTTTATTATAAATACTTGCCAATTGTTTTATTTCGAGTCATTCATTGACCGTTGTATATTTTCCATCATCTTTTCTAATTCTTTTTCATTTTTTTTTTTGTAGACAATTCCCTTATTAATCTGTGGTCAAGATGTTGTTGCCATGGCACGTACAGGGAGTGGGAAGACAGCTGCATTTTTGATCCCAATGTTTGAGCGTCTGAAAACACACTCAGTTAAAGTTGGTGCCAGAGCCTTGATTATGTCGCCTACCCGAGAGTTGGCCATGCAGACCCTGCGTTTTACCAAAGAGGTAAATTTTGACAGTTTCATTACATTCCATACTGACTTGTACAAATTAAGTCTTTTCACTTCCACATTGCCCCATATCATTTTGTCCATTTAAACCAACAACTTTTTGCTATACATCTAATTTTTTTTACCATATAATAATTGTGAGTGTCCCTCCCTTCTTTAGTTTGTACAACCATTACACCTTGCCAGTACCTCATAATTAATGGGCTATTCCATTTTGATCACATAAGACAAAAAACATATCAAAGACGTTACTTGGTTTCAGTGAGAAAATGAAAGAAAGAGAGGAAGATAGCTGTTTTGGTGAAATGGAAAGAATTGTCAATTTCAAATCTTTTTATTTGTACCTCCTTACTTCTGAATGACCAGCATTCATATTTATGACTGTTATTGCAATATTTTGTTAATGTTGTTAAACTCAAATATTTAATGATGGGATAGGGGAATTTCTACAGATATTTTATTGTTGTAGAAATTTTTATGGGTTAAAACTAGTAAACTATAAATTTGGAAAGTGGAAATTTCACTGAAATATATTGGAAAGATTTCAAGCTTTCCTTTGAAAGCAAGAAAATCAAAAATAAGTTAAATGGTCACAAAACATGTGAAAAAAGATGATGTCAGTTAAACTGATGCCAGGAGGATATTGGTTGAAGATGATTATTTCATTCTTTGAGTTCAGAACAAAGTTTGTTTTTCTATCTGTTTGCATAATATATGCAATAAGTTCCACAGCAGAAATAGAGCAGTGTGGACAAATTAATTTGATACCTTAATTATGGAAAGCAAATATAGTAGTAGGCATCCATTTATCTTGTGAGATAATGTTAGCAAAATGTTTGGTCAAAATTCAATCCTTTTGTAAGCAGCATCTGGAGTTTTTAACAGTCCAGTCTTTGCATGGCATTTTTTCCTGCCAATGTGGCAAGCAAAGTTGAAATGTAGAATGGAGGTCAGAGATTGCTTGCTCTCTCTCTCCTGCATTATGTTCTGATCTCCAACAGTTGATTTTGCTTTTTTCCATCCTTCATGACTCCTTGAACAGCATTATACCAGCTGCTGCAATCATCTGCTAACTGTTTTCAGCTACTAGAGTCAATGCCTGTGAGTTTTGGGTCCCTCTTGCAGATTTTTTTGAAACGTCATACTTGGCAGCTGACTGGATGTTTTCCCATGGTCAGCTCACCATACATGATGTCTTGTGGCATATAGCCGTCATTCATTTGATATACATGACCCATATACAAGTAGTATGGGCTAATAATGAGAAATCGGAGAGCCGAGTTTGAATTTCAGTTTGGTTCATTGCATTCACTTATGTGCAAATACTCTTGGGAAAGATAAGAATCCACCTCTTCCTCCCAGTTATGGGTTAAATAGTAAGGCTTGTATCAGTAAATCATTATTATCCCCCAAAAATTCTTATAATTCAAAAATATTTTGGTGTTAAATAACTTTAAAAAGGTTGATAATTCATAAAAAATAAATCAATCAATGCAAGCAGTATAGAAACAATTGTATTTGATATGACTATATAAGACAGATTTAAATTTAAGAAAAGAATATGAAAAATAAATGAAATATAATTTTTATTTTTTTTATTCCAGTTGGGCAAATTTACTGGCCTAAGGGCTGCTGTGATTCTGGGAGGTGACAGGTAGGTTTTCAATCATGAACCCAAGTTTAGTCAGTATTTAAATGTTGCCATATTGCAAGAAGTATATATGTGTTTTGAGAGAAAGAGAGTAATGAAAGGCTTTGTTTTACTTTTCAACAGTATATAAATGCAAATATATACCTTTATTACCAAAACCAGTCTGGTTGACCTTTACTACCGAGTAGTGAGTTTGTTCCTCACTGGATGCCTTGTACAAAATTCAACAATGAATAACACAATAATCGTTGACATGTAAAATCAGCCAACTTAACCTAACCAAATACCCAATTTTTTCTGTAAGCAACTGTACTCAAATTTGACCAAATCTTAAGCAATTTCACTACAGATGCCAGTATGTGTTCAGGTTATTTAAGCTATAAAAAAAAATGTAAAAATTAAACAAAAAGGGATTACTAAATATGTTATTTTCTATTGTATTCAAGAATTCTACCAATTCTATATTGAAATGACTTTCTTTTCTATTTATTAAACTCAAGTATAAAAAAAAAAACTCCAGTAATAATTCTTGTGTGAAAATTAAAATCTGAATATTGTTCAAAATATTATTTAAAAACAAAATTGTGTACTCCCAGCAACAACCGACATAGTCTTTTTTTTTTGTTGCTTGCTGTTCACACTTCCTGTGGTTGATGCTGCAAATCTGTGATTCACTAGTCTGGCAGTGTTGAAGATTCAAGATGGTGATTTGAATTTTGTGGCCATTGGTTTACAGGCTGGAGCAAAATGTTGGGCAGGTAATCAATGGTTGAATAAAATAAAAATATTTATAAAAAAAAAAACATAAAAAACTTGGCAAACTTGGACTTTAGTGTCCCCCATACCACCACCACTACTACACACACTAAAAAAAACAAAAAAACTGGAGTATCAAAAGGATGGTTTTTCCCTTTGACATTGCTATTATTTTAACTACATTCACTCCTTGGCAATGTTTATTGTTTTAAAAAGTGATGTTTATTTACAAGAATAATTTTATATTTACAACATCCTAAAAATTTATACAATTGTATTAAAACTAATGCATTGCAATATTTATCATTTACCAATTTATAAAGAAATAAATATGGAAACCATTTTTTTGTTTATAAACATTTACTAAATTATTAAAATATGCAAACCAACTATAAGGCAATCCGTATTATTTACCATTTTATAAAGTTTGAATCAATTGGCAATTAGCCGATGTTTATTTCAATAAACAATAGTGTAAATATTCTAATAAATGGTGTTTAATATCTTTGTTGTAAATTCTCAAGAACAAAGAAAATGTATAAATTCATTTTCATATATTTAGGGTTTGTTACAATTGTGATCATTGCTTTTTAAAACAATAAACATTGCTTAGGAGTGAAGGGTGTTAAAATAATAGCAGTGTCAAGGGAAAAACCATCCTTTTGATACATCATATATAAAAGTTAATTTATGTAAATCATGAAAAATCCAATATGAAAATTTTTTGTGAACCAGAGATATTTACAAAAGATTGTTTACTGAGAGGGAAAAATAATTATAATTTGCATTAAAAACATTTTCATTTTAAATATTTACCAAAAAACAACAGATTAATGGATTTAAAAATTGTCAGTACTTATCTAATAAGTTTTCTTTTCTTTTTTTTCTTCTTTTACCCTATGCAAGGCAGTAAAGCTACTAAGACACAGGGACCTTATTGAGCGTGAAAGAATAAGAAAAAAGAGAAATATTATTATTGAGCAAGGACAATAGAAGAGTAATGAAGGCAGTAGATAACGATTGACATTGCATTTAAATTTTTAAAGATCAAAGCTGGTTGAAAAGCATGGATCCAAAAGAGAGTTCCACAAGCAAGAAGTGTGAGAAAAGAAACTATAGGATAGAACTTACAGTTGCATCTATCCAATTCAACTGTAAAATGATGAGACCTTGTTGCCAATCTAGTACTTTGCTTAAATTCGTAAAGTCTAGTTACCATAGCAGAAAGTTCATCCAAACAATAACCACAAAAGTATTTATAGAAAAGGCACATAGAGGCTACATAATGGCCGTGGGAAAGGAACTGAAGCTGAGATGCCAGGTCAAGACAAATAATATTACTGATTTTTCTTTAGATTTTATCAAGAATCTGTAAATTTTGCTTTATTTTTTTTTTTTTTCTTCTTCTCACATGACTACACCCCCACCTTAACCCTTTAGCATTCAACACATTCAAACCCACCCTGTAAATATTAGCTCTCAAAGTCTCATGGTTTGGGTGGGTGACCTTCTGCATTATTTGCAATGATGTCATCATATATTATGGCAAGGTATACATGGAGCTGGTTATGGCATGTTAAACATTCAGAACCAATATTTACAGGGTGGGTTGGATGCTAAAGGATTAATTTATTCAACCTTGGCTTATGTCTCTGTAAATTATATCAGTGACTAGCAGTAGAGCCCGGCATTGCCACAGTAAGAGATAGATCAAGTATCAACCATCATAAAGACTGAAAAATAAAATTGACAAAGATTATTGTTTAAGGTTGACGGACACGCATGTCTTAATTAGTTTTTTTTTTTGTTTTTTTGTTGTTTTTTTTAAAAATTGGTCAAACAAAAAACATTGTTTTCAATCGTTATGAGTCTATCGATTGGATAGAATTTTATTATAAACAATTGTCTTGTAAATGGAATTTTTAAAGCATTCTGAATGTAAAAATAAAGAAAAAAGTGTGCAAGACAATAAGAAACACTACCTGCCAAAAAAAAAAGTGAAGTTTTGTTGAAATCGGTTGAAAAATGTAGGAAATCCAATCCCATATATAAACAAACACACACACACAAACAACCTGGGTTTTATAATAAGTATAACTCGATATGAGTTGTCTCCTTTCATTCTCGCAAGAGCGATGCCTCTTAATCGTGTTTTCAAATTGATTTCGTGCAAAAACAATTGTGTTTTTCCAATTTATGGCACTGTCAGAACCACCGCAAGGTAATTTTACGGAGTCCTGTGAAGTTTTGTTGAAATCGGTTGAAAAATGTAGGAAATCCGATCCAATATATAAACGTACAGATACACACACACACACACACACACACAACCTGGGTTTTATAATAAGTATGATAGTGTACAGTATATGCATTATTTTCCCAACCCCTTTTTTTTTTCCTTTTTGTCCCTTCTAAGTTTCACTGGTTCAGAAAATCCATTACTCCAACATTTGCTTTTTTCCAAGCTTGCCAGATTAGTGTGGCTGAACATAGATGTCTCAGTGAGTTATTATGTTTTACAATTGTTTTGCTTGTGTATTTGTTTTGTTTTATATTTGTTCTAATGTATTTTCCTTTTTGTTTCTCCTAGAATGGAAGACCAATTTTCAGCTCTTCATTCTTCACCTGATATGTAAGCAAAATTTTTCTTGAACTGAACTTTTGTCATGTTCTGATATTTGTTTGAAATTTAACCTCATCATATTTCTTAAAGCCCAAATCCTACAAATACTGAATCTCATAAAATCTTAATATTCATAAAATTTATACAATTTTGAAATCTGCATTTCTTAACCCAAAGATCTCAAATGAAAATTGAGAATTTGTCATGAAAATTAATTTTATTTAGTCAAATATTTTGGTTAATAATAAAAAATGAGTGACTTTTGTTTGTATTTAATGTTTTTTCTTTTTATAAGAATTATAATTTCATTATTGAATTATAAAGTTAAATATTAAATGAATATATTGATACTGTTGTGTACCTGCACCTGACCTCTGCACTTAAAAACACATTTTAATATTGAAATCATTTGTAAATTGTGAGGTTTTTGGGGACTCTTTATTTTATATATATATATATATATATATATATACATATATATGTGTGTGTTGCTAAAGGTGCTGGGAAAATGGTTGATTCATTGTACCACACTAGTAAGTATCTGACTCCCCCTGCTATACTATCTTTACGAAAGTCAGATCAAACCAAAAATGGAATATTGCTGCCTAGTCCTCACTTGCCTGTCTTGATAGTTAAAAAGTGTCTGCATGGCCTTGTGGGTGATGAATTACTTTCCACATTACAACCCCTTTCCTAGAGACAAAACATTGCAAACCTCTTGCTGCTCTATTACTTTCCATCAAAATGTGTTTTGACAAGCTACATTCCTTGGTTTCCCTAGCTCTGACCTTTGCAGCTGGGACCCGCCATGCCATGTATACAGAGATGAATCAGCCTCATTCTTTTTGTATTCCATTAGTAAGAAGTAAGTTCCACTCAGACAGCTTTGTGGAACAGACTCCTGGCAGTATGTTTTCCCAATCACTACAATCTTGACCTCTTCAAATCTTTGGTTAATTTTTATCTTTCCTACATAACCTCATGAGCTGTACTTCTTACCTTTTTCTTATGCTCATACAACACCACAAAGTAACCCTCTACCTTGAGCGGCTCTTGGGTCTTTTATTGGGTGAAAGGTAATATAAAAAATAAATATATTTTTTAAAATACTGTACTTGATGACAAATTGAATCCTCACTACTATTTACATTTAATATTTGAGTAAATCTGAGCTTGCCAGAAAACACAATTTCACATCATTGTATTCTGCCAAAAGTTTTTTCTTGTTGGAATACATCTTACACATTTATAAATCTACCATTCATCCATGTATTGGATACTGTTCTAGTCTGGTGCTCCTACTTTGCATCTCAAGATTCTTGACAAAATCCAGGCAGCTGTCTGCAATACAATTGCTCCTGATTAGACATCTTCTCTCCAGAAAACACTTTCTCACATATGTGAGATGGCTTCCCTCTGCCTATTCTACAAATATTTTCATGGTAACTGCTTGGGTGAACTTCTTTTTTTTTTTTTTTTTTTTTTTTTTTTCTTGTGCCCCAACAATATAAATTTAAGCATGCTACTAGATTGGCAACTAGGTCTCACCACTTTACTGGTGAACTAGCTAGATACAACCATCATTTCTACCCTAACATTTTTTTTCTCACATTTCTCACCTGTGGAACCCCTTCCGATTTCTTGCTTCCCTGATAGCTATAATCTTCAAAAATTAAAATGCGACATTAATCACCATCTTCTGTCTTCTTGAAGCCTATTTCTTTTTTGTCGTTTCCTTGGTCCTCCCCATTTTTAATCTTCTTATTCACTTTCACTCCCTGTAATCCCCTGTGTTCTAGTGACACTGTTGCCTTTATTGGGGGCAAAATGATTACAAAAAAATATATGTAAAATTCAGCAGACATTTTCATTTTTTTTTTTTTTTGAGTTGAAGTGGAATTTTGTGTGCCAATTTTCTGTCATGCAGTTCTGATAGTCAACTTAATTGATATGCCTTTTTTTTTTCTTTTTTTTTTTTCCTTAAATACTTTTCAGAATTATTGCTACTCCTGGTCGATTTCTTCATGTTGTCATGGAAATGGAGTTAAAACTGTCCTCTCTTGAATATGTTGTATTTGATGAAGCAGATCGGTAAGTTTTTTTTTTTTTTTTAAATTTCTCTCTTCAGATTATAAAATATAGTAAAATCTAGCAAATCCCATCAGAAACTAATTTATTCAGTTTTTATCTTTTTTGTTAGATTTTCTTTTCTTTTTTCTTTCTTTTTTTTTAATAAAAATATTCCTGACATTGGAATAATATATGTTAATACAGATTGATATACCATGTTTTCTTGTGCATAATGCAAGAAATTTTGGACAAAAATTAAAAGCAGAAAAAGGAGGTCATATTATACACAAGTACACATTTTCAGAAATTTTTACTCAGCTTAAAAAACCTCTTACTTAAAACAGCAAATTTGCAGCATAATAAATACTAAAACACAAGGTAGGCAGTTATTGATCACAATTGTTTACAAAAGGTATTTGATAGATTGGCAGTATTTGTTTCTCCTATTCTTAATGAAAGACAATATTTTTTTTATTTTCATAGTTTTTTAATATATGGAAATACAATAAAGTCATATCAAACAGAAAGGTATGTGTTGTGGAGTGATTTTCACAGTGAAGGCTTGTATTTGTACTGTCGGTCCTAAAATAGGTTCGACGTACAAAACGTTAAGAATTTGATATAATAGGTATAACGCAGAGTAATCTAGTTGTGGTCGCTGATACTTTAGTATTCAACTAACTGTCGTCCGGCATCGACTGACTCACTCGTTACTCTTACTACTCCTACTTATTATAGGTGGGAGAGTCTATTAACTATAGAATAGGTGTGTTCCACTATAACAGTATGATAAATTAAGTAACACCTTAAAATGCGTTAATAGGTATGTGTAGTTATGAACTTTCCCTGAAAATTTGAAAATAAGTTTTGAAATGGAAATTAGAAGAAACACACAATGGCTAATCATTCAATTCATTTCTATTCTTTAAAATTGCGAAAAGTTAAATATTTTAGTGAAATATGTGATACAATGGATGCTACATAGAATGGTAAGAAGTGGTTTATCTCGATCTTAAGTGATAGACCATCAGATAGTTCTTTTGAAGTTTGGTTTTCTAAGCAGCATCCACTTTAACTGAGAGGGAATAAGAAGTAAAGGGATTTATGGGGATCAAGTGGCAACAAAACTGGAAATAGTCTATATCCATGTGTTGGTCTATGATAACAGTTCTACTTGGGATCGGGGAGAGATCTGGTCTGCCCTTGGTGGGAGACTAGTGTGCCTGCCACGTGATTCCAAAGCCTCTATTTTGTATTGACATGTCCTGGGTATGACGAGAAACTATATCCAGTAACAAGGACTCTGATCAGGAGATTGGTGGTTTTGAGGAGTATGGAACCACCTCTTAATTGTTGTTATTGTCGTTTCCAAGTCCACCCTGACCAAGGAGTGGTAGCACTTGTTAGGGTCCCAGCTATGGGCATATAGTGAACCCTCAAACAAAAACAAAACACTATGAAAGTATATAAATACATATTTATAGTAAAAAAAATACCCACAATACATTTTATAGTAGAATTACCAACAATACATTTTTTAGGCAAAATGACCAATAATACATTTTTTCTGTGGTTGACATGCAATTGCGTTTAAAATATATTTAACTGATGCCATAAAATTGTTTTAAAAATATTTAAATTTCGGCATTAAATAACCCATAGAGATGTTGATATGCCACTTAACAAATTCCACCAACCAAATTGTATTGCCATTCACCATGTCAAGATGAGTAAATGGGCAAGCAGTTGGTATTGGGAAGAGCTGACATACCCACAGTAACATCACCTACCTACCCATCCAGATGAGCAAGTGAAGCCCGAATAAAACATCTACACATAATGCTGGAAATAGTGTTCACGTTCTTATTTCACAATGTGGTATTTCTTTCATCTTGTTTCCTTGTGAACATGTATCATGCCCTTTCCCAACTTTTGATGAACACTGACATGATGGAGCATTGGAATGCAAGGTGGGGGTAATCATTGGCCGGTCAGTGGAAAGCTTGGCAGGGTGTGGCATTATATATTTACATATGTACAATATTGAGGTTTTAATGGCTAATTTAGTACAACTTTAAAAAAAAAAAATAATTACTTAAGGATGGCTGTACTACGGGGTCATATTATACTCAAAGATGTAATCTATTGTCTATTTTTAGCTTTAGAATACACAGTCATATTATGCACAAGAAAATACAGTAACTGAAATCAATAGAATGTTTAGGTCCAATTTAGTCTTTAAATAATAAGCTTGTTTTATATTCTTCCTTAGTGCACAATGCTTTCAATATTTTAAGAAAGCAATTTCTTTATAGAATATCTTATTTATGAACCAACATCTTAATTCACTGGTTTGTGGATTTAGTGACATAGTAATTTTGAATTCAGTACCTGGACTGGGAAATTCAGAATCAAACACAGTAAAAACAAGGTAAACAATATCTGAGTCGTACTAAAAAGAATAAGATGAGATATCCTTATACATGAACAGCAGAGCAAGAATCCATCTACCTCCTATAGTTTAAAGAAATGGTTTAGTTTTAAATTCCCTGAAGGTTGCCTGGATTGACACACCGGAAGAAAGCCAGGGGGACACAATGACTGAAACGTAGTAGTAATAACCACAATGATTTGAACAACAGTCTGAATGTAAATAATGATAACTGCTCATCACAAAAACCCTAATATAATATCAAATATAACTGCTGTCTATTAATCATCTGAGAGACCTCTTTCTCCCTCCTATCAGCATGGCTAACCTGCAGTAGAATGGCTCATTGTGCCTTCTTAGACTGACATGAAGTGGAAAGTCTATTGAATCCATTGCTAGATCAGCTGCTATGAAAATAGGATCACAGTGTTGTGCTAGAAATTTTTCTCTCTAGAATCTATCTTACATACCTCTGTCTACTATTCGTCCCTCTCTAGAATATTGCTGCCACATATGATCCAGTGCTCCTATTAATATTTGTTTCAAATCAGATTAATTATACTTTAAATCAGCTAATATTCCTCAAATAAAGTCTCAGAAAAGTATTATTTTATTTTATTTTATTTTTTGCAAGATTTTTAAAACAAAGAATTATTAGGTTGATGCAAAAATAATGTCGTTTTTTGACGTTCAACTTAACATCAAAAAACGACATTATTTTTGCACCAACCTAATAACTTCTGTTCACAAATGTTTCAAAAATGGATGACTTTCTCGGTGTTACTGAAAGAAAAAATATGAAAATCGATTCCAATCAATATAATTTCTGTTTGAAATACACCAGAGTACTTTGCTTACTGGAAATAGTAAATTTAATCCTTTAGCTTTCAATTAAAGCTAAAATGAAAGCATCAAGAAAGCTTTTTCAGTTTTAAAACTTAATTTAAACTTTAGGTATCACAATTTTTGTAGCGTTACCTCTATCTAATATTTCACTGCACATTTTTTTTTTTTCTTTTTTTTTTTTTTTTTTTTTTTTCATTAAAAAAGGTAGCATAACAGTAATATGACTCAAAGGTAAATTTTGTTCAGTTTATTTATTATAATCAGTAATTATGTGCAGGTGGTTTAATTGTTGGGGGCTCAGAATGAGGAATCAGAGAGATAAATTTAAATTCCAGTCAAGTTAGATTCACTTTTGCAAAAATACCCTTGGGAAAGATATGAATCCATCTCTTCTCTCTCACATAGGAAGGCAGACTGGATTCTTCATCCTTGTTTGGCAATCAATGTAGGAGAAGGACAACTCTGAATTCAAAACCATATGTCACTTTTAGAGTTCACAATGATTCTATAAATTCTATAGCGATTGGCCTAAAACTGTCAATGTATTTATCAGTATTTACCCACTAGTTCTGAGATGAAGCATTTTCTTTATTGAATTTTGACAAATTTTCATCTTATTTTTACTTATCACAAATTGCGAGGTTGAATAAGTATTACTTTAATCATCAAAGTAATAATTAGTGAAATTGGTATCTGTCTATATTTCAGAAATGAGGTATTGTAATTATTTACATTGTTCAGATTGTTGTCCTTATCTTTATTGTTGTATTCACAACATTTCAGCCATTGTACCCCCCCCCAAAGCTTTCTTCAGGTGATTGGAATTTCGAACATGAAACTAGAACAATCTATGCCAGTGAATGAAATAAAGGGTTCAGTTTAAAATTCCAATCACCTGAAGAAGGCTGGAGCATACAATAGCTGAAATGTTGTAAATATGGCAATAAAGAGGAGAGCAATTATGTAAATAGGGAAATCAGAACAAAAAAAAAAAAAGCAACTGCTTTAATTAAGTTTTCTTAAAATTAAAGCTGACAATATCTTTTCGATCAATGCAAATAGATACTAAGAATACTATGGACTGAACTGGTGAGAAACAAGTACATTTGAAAGAATATGGTGGTTGATATTGGGCATAATGAGGAAAGATGACTTGGAGAAGCTCTCATAGATCATGTTGAAAACAGAAGGGATAGGGGGAAACAGTGAAAAAGCTACCTAACCAGTTTGTGGGAATGGATCATAGAACAAGTATGGATAGTAAAGAGTCAAATGTTGCTTAGAGCTACAAAGAACCGGAAGTTGTGGAGAGCCATGATTACCCATCTGAAGTAACCTACCTAATCAATTTGTGTGAATGGATCATAGAACAGGAACAAGGAGGGATGGTAAAGAGTCAAATGTTGCTTCACGCTATAAGGAAGAAGAAGTTGTGGAGAGCCATGTTTACCCATATCCTGAAGTAAGCTACCTCATCAGTTGTTTGTGCGAATGGATGATAAAGCAAGAGCAAGGAGAGATGATAAATAGTCAAATGTTGCTTAGAGCTACAAGGAACCTGAAGTTGTGGAGAGCTATGTTCACCCACGTTCTGGAGGAACATGGCTCATAAAAGAAGAGAAATGATTAAGCCACTGTTCAAAACTAAATTTAGATTGTCACACATGAAATGACACACTTTATAAGAAATGAATAAAACGCTTCTGAAATGTTAAATAACTAATTTATTTAGTTGAAATAGGCAACATGTGGATAAATGACTGTTCTTCAACATGTCTCTAAATTCTTTATCCCATCTTTTAAAAAAATTCTCATCCTTTGATGTGATAAACAATTCAAAAGCTTCAATTACCTCTTCCATATTGGAGAATATTTTATTGCATATGAAAATCTCAAAATGCTTAAATAGGTGATAATTAGTAGGTGAGATATCAGGTTAATATGGAGGATGAGGCAAAATTTCATAATTCATATGCAGTTTTGGGACAGTTGTTTAAGAAGCATTGTCGTGCAGCAAAATTGGGCCATCCCTATTCGCAAGTCTTTTTTTTTTTTTTTTTCATGCATACCCTTAATTTCTCCACAAAACGGGGTTGCTGTCATTGTTTTCCCTTGAGGCAAGAATGAATAATGAATAACCCCTTTGAAAGACCACCATACAGTAACCATTTAATTTTTAGGATGCAGTGGATGTTTAGGGCATTGTTTTGGTGATTCATTTGTGTCTAACCACTGGCCTACTCTTCTACTATTGTCAAAGACTATCCATTTCTCATCGCATATAATGATTTGATGCAAAAATGCTTCTTCTTCCCAGTTTGTACTCATACTCAACATTGTTTCATCAGTAATCATGGGCTTAGGCGTAACCATATATTGAAAGAAAAATTATCAGGAATAAGTGAAGATTGTTTTATATGTTATGGAGGTTATTTCATTAGACAACCAGATCAACAACCAACTGAAAAATGTGTCATTTCATGTGTGACAACCTAATATTTATGAATAATTAAAATGTCTGAATTGTATGCTGTTCTAAGACTCAAAGATGCACTATGGAATTTCCATCATTTTTACTGGTAAATAAATAAATAAAATTATACATTTATTTCTTCTCATGCCTGCCTACTTGAAATTGGTAAATGGGAAATAGGAAATATCCTACTAGCAATCCACTTCTGCATTGGCATCCCTGAAGAAATCTCTTATGGTCAGTTAAACTATTTGCACTTACATAAAGTACAGATAAACTTAAATGTGTGATGTCTCCAAAAATGCACTCACTCTTTAAAAGACAATAAAGGCAGTGTTTATTGACTTGCAAACATTATTATTGGTTAAAATAAATAAAAATATTCACTTTTATTGACTTAGAAAGAAGATTCAGTCAGTTATGTGCCATGTGTGATACACGCTTAGGCAATAATGTATCTTTCAATACATGACTGACAAGGCAGATTTTTTCCCACAGTAGGTTGCCATTTCTTTCTGCTGTAGACCAGTTGCCATCCAAGGTTATAGAACCTAGTCTGTTCTGCTACTTACCCATAGCTGGTGGGAGAAGAAGAGGATTAATACCTTTCCCAAGTGTATTAGCACGTAAGTAATGGATTTGACTGGAATTTGAACTCGGCTCTCCAATTCCTCAATCTGAGCTGCTATCCACTACTCCACCATGCCCAAGAAGATTAACAATTTAAATTAAATATTAAATGAAATTAAATGCATGTTTATATATATTCAAACTAACAACAAAGTCAAGAGTGTATTCCGTTTTTTTTGTTGGGGGGACACCCTGTATGTTCATCTATGCTTTTTTTTCTAATTGTGCAGATTGTTCGAAATGGGTTTCCAAGAGCAGCTGCAAGAAATTCTCAACCGTCTTCCAGAGAATCGACAGACATTGCTTTTTTCTGCTACATTGCCACGCCTTCTGGTGGACTTTGCCAAGGCGGGCCTTAACAATCCAACTTTAATCCGTCTTGATGTCGACAACAAACTTAGTGATCAACTTAAAGTGAGTTTTTTTTTTTTTTTTTTTTTTTTTTTTTCTGGTGGTGGAGTGAAGCATAAACATTTCAAAAGGGATGCAAGTGCTATAAAGCAGGCCTTCCCAAAGAGACCTTGTGTGCTTGTCAAGAAAATTTTAGCTGAGAAAGTGTGGCATGTAAATTTGGGGTTAATTGTGAATGCTTTTGAGAATTTTTTCTTTAATTCTGTAATCTAGCTTTGTGATCATTGTCAGGTTGTTGCAATTTTTCCTGCTAAAAGAAAGAAAACTTTGGAATTCTACATTTGAAATGTAAACAGATCCGCAAATTTTAAATTTAATAATAACTGTGCCAAAATATCTTTGTTATATTAAAACAATGACACAATATTTTCTATTTAAATTGCATGTGATTTTTTTTTTTCCTTTTAAATCGATTCAATAAGATTGGGTCTCCAGTTCCTTCTAGTGTCTTCTCATTCTCTTTCACTCACAATAACCCTAAGAAAGGCATGCCACTAAGATGAACTGGGATTACTGGGAATGACAGAGAATGAGAAGACATTAGAAGGAACAGGAAACAAGGAATAAACTTCTAATCATGTTCAAAAATACTGAAGAACATGCACAACACCGTCATCACTCTGAATGATTTTAGATAACCAAAACGTATCATTGTTTTAATACAATATTTACTACTTAATTATTTTTGTGAAAAGAAAATGAAACATTATATATATATATATATATATATATATATATATATATATATTCCTTTTATCCTGGGTCACCCATTTTATGCATGAAAAAAAAAGTATACAGTTTAGTTCCCTGAAAAATATATATATATATATATTCTTTCAGGGAACTAAATTGTGTGTGTAATATATATATATATATATATTATTATTATTATTATTATTTTATTTTTTTTAAAGAAGGAATTGTGCCATGGATTGTATTTCCTCAAAAAAAAAAAAAATCTCATTAGCAGTTTTCTAAATTAGGTAATTTTTATGCATCTGGTCTTCTGTAGCAAAAACTGCCAATAATTTATTTGAAATGTGCAAGTTCCTGTAAGCAGAGAAGAGCCGGAATTTCTTTTACCAAATGTATGGTTGAGTTTGTCGTGACAAATTTCTTTTTTAGGGTGTTATGATTTAAAATGCTGTTAAAAACTGTACATCTTTGGGACAAGCCATTGTTACTATTATACATCGATTTCCTTTGGCCTAGTTCTCTTGTCTTTGTTAATTTTTAATCACATTTCAAATGCTCAGTTCTCTGTAGGGCATTTGAATTCAAATGTTCAATTAGAACCTTCGCTATAGGGAACTGTTTTCCTAACTAAAACAAATTCATGAATAATTAAATTGGACATACCACTACTCACTTATTAAAATGGGTGACCACATATCTCTCAGACCATAGCTCCATAAGGACCCATTTAAACCAACATGAAAATTTGCCAACCTCAATATGCAACATAATTGTTGAAAACACAAATAAACTGAATTATAATATGATATTTTCTGAATTTCAGACTGCCTACTTTTACTGCCGAGATGTTGAGAAGTCTTCTTTGTTGCTATATCTCCTTCAAAATGTTATCAAACCATTTGAACAAACAGTTGTGTTTGCTGCTACTAAACATCATGTGGAATACTTAGTCACGGTAAGTTCTTGTGATTTTCTGTTAAATAATTCCGATTTTAAAAATATCACTTGGGTATAGATCTACAAACCCTACCACCTCCACCCTCATTTACAAAACAAAAACCAAGTTCCATTTACTGAAGTTTAATCGGAAGTTGATACATTTAGTCTTTCAATGTCATAGAACTAGACAAAAAGTTTTACACAATGATACATATTACAATAAATTTAAAATATATATACATAAATATGTACGAACTGCTTTTGTGGGCAGATGTAAGTGGAGCCTATAGATCTGCCACTCTTTGCCACGAAACAAAGACAGTTCTTTTTACTGATGTCTGTTAAAATTTGATATATTCAGTCTTTCAACACCATAGAACTAGACAAAGGAAGGAACATGGAATAATAAATAGGTAGAACCATTTCCCCAGACTAAACTCTCTTTTTTCACAATCATCCCAAAATCGTCCTAATAAAAACAACTTTAATCATTCAAAAAAAAAAAACAATTTAAACCAGCCCAAAAAGTTTTTTGTTAACATTTATAACAAAATAAAAATACTATCAAATTTGCTTAGGAAATAAGTTTAAAAAAACTAAAATATTGGAATCTTAAAAATGAATACTTAAAAAAACAAATTAGTTCATTTTTACTTTAAGTAGAAAATAACTTTATTTTTATTTAAACATTTCAGTTAAATAACTTTGAATAATTTTACATAGAAATGTTCTTATTAATTTATTTTTATGCTTTTATCAGACTTAAATAATTGCGTTCTATGCATTTATTTTCTATACAAAGAATATTTGTGTATTCCAACTATTCACAGTAAAGTTTTTAAAGTCTCTATGAAAACAAATTTAAGTTACAATTATTTTTCTTGAATTGTGACTAAATTTTCCATGTTTTTAAATTCTTGGTTGTATCTTCAATTTAGTTTATAATAAACAGAAAACACAAGGTGTAACTATTTTCTCATTACTGGTTCATTCAAGTTTTTAAACCAAAAATTGACAAAAAAAATATTTTTTTGCTTTATTTATTAAAGCAAAATTAGTTTTTATAATTAGATACTAATGCTTTTCACATTTGAGATAAGTAATACAAATATCTAAATTTAAGTCCCTCGGTCTTTTTCATTTGGGTTTCATTCACGTTTAAAAATTTTGTGTGTGCATGTTCTCTCTATTTATTGCAAGACTGCCACCATTGGTAAAATTTTCATTTTAAGAAAATGATTAATTTTAAAATAAACTTAATAGAATTTTAATTTAAAAAAAAAAAAAAAATTGTGTTGTCCCAAAAGACTTAGCAGGGATAGTCTGAATCCAAAACTGGAGAAAGCAATAGGAAATCACTACCTTTCTCAAGAAGCCATGGTAATTCATAGATTTTTAAAAAAAGAAAAAAAAAAGAGCCTGTGGAGAGCTATGATTCTTTGTCCTGAAGGGACATGACATTTAAAAAAAAAAAAATGTGTGTGTATATATATTTAGGCAATATGTGTCTATGTGCAGGAGCATTTCAATAGGTTTATGACTTATTATCACTTTTTCTATAACCATAATTTTGCCAAGATGAACAAATTTCAAATTCTTTGTCCATTTAAACTAATACATTTATCTGAAAATCTATTCAATTTAAATACAGGAGTCATAAAAATGATTTCAAATGGCCACACCTTTCATCTTATGCTTTTTTTTCCTGTTACCCAGACAAAAAAGGAAAATAGTCCTCCCAACGCAGATATTTATTTCAATTTCATTAAAATTTTGTGTATATGTACATTTACATTTATTTTAATTCATTAACAGCCCTAAAAATGTTTCTACAAAATTAAAGCAAGGGCAAGCAATATGGGACACATTCCCAGAAAACTTACTTCACAAACACCAACCAAACATGAGACAGGAAAACACAAAACTAGGAAAAGGGTGAAGAGAGTACACTGTACTAACTAGAGTTTGTATTGGGCATATAAGACTACTAATTCATGTACACTTGCGAAGTGCTGAAGATGTACCTTGATGCACATATTGCAATCATAGACTAATTGTTAAGCCCATTCTGATTAATTCAGCTTAAACATAGTAAATGCTACAATGTCAAAAATATAAAAACATTGTTAAAAGATGTTGTCCCTGGCCAGATAACAGGATTTCTAAAAGAAATTGGAATTTTTAAATTCCTATAAAAATTGTTTATGTATGGATATATAAAAAGGACCGCTTTAAATGGATTCAAATTGACAGATTAAACAATCTATTTAAGACGAATTGTAGCTACCAAACTGAGCCCCTCGACTATTGAAAAAAGAAGTGTATATATGTATTCACCTGGTTGGCATATAATGACCTATCAGGGTCGTCATGCTGTTAAACAAAATCTAACTAAAACAAATTTACAAAATTAAATGAAAAAAAAAAAGGAAAAATAATTTCATTTATTCTTATTCTCAATATTATTCTTTTTCAAAAAAGTTCAATGAACCCTTATAATTATCTGATTTTTTTGTCTTCATCTTTGATTTTATTGCTCAGCCCAAGGTATGTGTTGTCCAGGCTAAGTGGAAAAGTAATGTATTATTCCAATGTCTTATTTCAAACTCTGTTAAATTGTGTGTGCGCTTGTGTATACATTAAATGGCACAAGTAAATATAAGTTACTTGTGTACAACACAGACATACATTACATATGCACCTGCAACATTGCACACAGGGAGCTCTTCTTTTGTAATATAAATTGACCACCTTTTTTCTCCCCCCTTTATTCTTTTCAGTTACTGACTAAAGCGGACATCAAATGCACATATGTATACAGCTCTCTGGATCCATCTGCCCGTAAAATCAATGTGGCCAAGTTCCAAAACAAACGAGTGAATGTCATGATAGTCACAGATTTGGCTGCCAGAGGAATAGATATTCCACTCTTGGATAATGTCATCAATTATAACTTTTCTGGAAAACCCAAACTTTTTGTCCACAGAGTTGGTAAGTAATATATTCTCGGGAGTGCTGTAAAGTTCACAGACTGAAGCACTTTCCAAAATTTAACTAAGCAGAGTTGAACTTAGTCATTACCTAGATGGGTGGTCACTTGGAATACCAAGTGCTGTAAGCTTGGATGTGTGGGTGGTGTAATGGATCCAAGTTAGAAATCAGAGATAGATGAGTCCCAATTCCAGTCGAGTTTGTTATATTCACTTACATATCCTTAGGAAAGATATGAATCCACCTCTTCTCCCCAGTTATGGGTTAATTAGTAAAACTTGTATCAGTAAATCATTATTATCTCAAAAAATTCTCATGATTTCAAAATATTTTCTGGCTTTAAATAACCTGCAAAAGGTCAATAAGCTATAAATTACAAATCAGTCAATCCAAAATCTGATCAAAAGAACAAACAGAAATTATTATTTATGTTATCTGCAGTTGGACTGATATCTTCATCTTTGTTGTTATTATCACAATGTTTTGACCATCGTGTACCCTGGTTTTCTTCAGGTATCTTACCATCCAGGGAAATTTTGACCAAACCCTTTATTTAATCTATGGTGGTAGATTGTTCTCATTCCAATATTTATATTTATGAATATCTTGTTTTATTTAACTGCTCAGTTATTTTTACTCTTGTTTCAATTGAAACCAAATCTGTACTACCTGACTGGCCCAGGGATTGAACTCACAATTACGATGGAACCAAATACACAAATCAATGCTTTAATTCTCTTGATTATTGTTGGATCACACAACAGTTGAATGTTGTTATAATAATAACAAAAATGAGGATATTAGTCCAACTGTAAATGATAAGATTTTGTTTGAATACAATGACACAGTTTAAAATTTAATATTTTCATAACATGAAAATAAAAGAAACTATATTTAACATTCTAAATTATGGTTTAATCATTTTCTTTGCTCAATTCTTTTACTACTATTACTGTGAAAAAGTAACAAAGTTGTTTGTGGTTAAATACTGGTTATGACAAGTATATTGGAAAGTTTTTAAAAATTTTATCTTAAAATTTGCAGACATTGAATATTTTCTCTCCCCACACCCCAAATAGAATCGTTAATGAAACCAGAACCAATAATGTAATTTTTGTTGTAAACTTTTATTTCTTTTTATAGTGGAGGTAAGAAATACTGAAAGTATTATTGCATTGTGACAGATGTTTTTTATGACCATCAATAAAGTCTGCAAAATGAAATGTTCAAAGCAGCCACCCACTTGACCAAAAATGAATAAAATAATAGATAAATAAATGAAAACTTTTGAGATCTTCACTGGACATTGGAAATTTCTGTTGGCAGTCACAGAGTTGAAAATAGTTCTAATACAGCTATTACCAGGGTACAGGTTGCCCATTAGTGGATGTCTGCTATCTGTTAAAAGAGTTTCTAGCCACACATCATAATATAGAGATGTGCAGAAGCGTAGTAGGAGAGAGTGCTCACTGGTTGAGGGGAAAAGCTGATCTGCTAGTCTTACCCGTGTAACAATATGATTTCTCACATATCTTTAGAAGATAAAAGAAATGAAATTTATCTACTTAAATCCACTTAGTTATCTGAGTTTCATAGGAATTTCATCTCCAGTCCATCTTTGAGTAAACTTGGCAAACAAATTGAATTGGTAAATATAAAATGTTAATGATTTCAGAGAATCATAAAAGAATCCTTTTGAAGAACTTAAAAACCCATACAGATGTTAGTGTCATCTCCAACTTCCAGAACACAAGGGGATGGATAGGGGGATGAAACCCCAGCCATTATCATATAAACAGTGAGAAAGGGGTCCAGTGGTCAGAGAAGTAGGTAGGTGACCTGTGAATGAGAAGCTGCCTAGCAACCAGAAAGTGAGGAATTAGCAGTGACCAAAACCACATGCAGTGAATGTAAGGGTCCTTTTTTGTGGCTGAAAGTTAGTGTTTTTTGGGGTTTTTTTGTTAAATGTCATGGCTAAGGAAACAAATCTGTGAACATAGCAAGTTGGGTGGATATGCAGATGCAAACAAGCTTGGATGTCACCACAGGTTATATAGTGAACAGCAATCAGACAATTTTGTCACACCCCAAACCTCTGAAAAAAAAATGTACAGCCATTTACTCAGTCTTTTGTTATTGCTGTAGTAATAAATGATCTTATTATAAGTAAGCTTGTCCCTCTTTTAGTTACTTAGTTTGCACATATGTATGATACGCCCTGCCTATACCTCATAAATAATGGAGTATTCCATTTTGATTACATGGAAATGATATATAAGAAACATTAGTTGGTTTGAGTGGAAAAAAAATGAAAAGAGGAAAGATGGGAGTGTTTAACATCTCCTGCTAATACCTCATAAATAATAGACTATTCCGTTTTGGTCACATGAGAAAATAAAACATCAAAGACATTACTTGGTTTCAATGAGAAAATGAAAGCAAGAAGGGAAGATAGAAGTGCTTAATATCTGTTTCAATGAAATGGAAAAAGTTATCAATTTCAAATCTTTTTATTTGTACCTCCTTACTTTAAATAATGACTGACATTCATATTCATTATTTTTATTGCGATATTTTGTTAAAGTTGTTAAGCTCAAATATTTATCAATTTATCTGAGATAATGCCCTGTTATTACCTCAGATAAACAATGGACCATTCTTGTTTGATTGCAAGGATAGACAGGAAAAGAAAGATATATCAAAGGCACTGTTTGGTTTTAAAGAAAATGGAAAGCAGATGACGTGAAAACACTCATGTTTTTAACGTCTGCTTCAGTGAAATGGAAAACTTAGTTTTGAATCTTTTCATTTGTACCCTCTTACTTCTTCTAAGAATGACTTGCATTCATACTTAGGATTATTATTGTTATATTTTGTTAGTTGTTAAGCTCAAATATTTATCATGGCAATAGGGGTATTTCTACAGGTATTATATATAGTCTTGGAATTCAAAAAGAGTTTATTCAATCATTAACTTAAAGAATTAAGGCACATCAGAAAACTAAAATAGAAAAACCATGCAATTTTCATGAGTATTTCTATCTGTATGTGATCATTAAAATTTATTTTTTATTACTCAGGCTACATTTTATGTCATTTCTTTTGTTAAGGTCGTGTTGCTAGAGCAGGCCGGTGTGGGACAGCATACTCCATCCTCTCATCTGATGAACTTCCTTACCTGATTGACTTGCATGTTTTCCTGGGGAGGTCATTCAAGTACATTCCTTTGAAGGTAGAAATCAACAAAGAAAATTCTGGTAAACCTTTTCACACAGATTTTTACTTTTTTTGTATTCTTTCATGTTTTAATAATTTGAAATTTCCAATACTCTCAGGTGAAAAATAACAAATATGAAATAAAGTAGTAAAAAGATTTTTTTTTTTTTTTTTTACACATGATAAAAAAAAAAAATCATTGTTAATTTAGATAATGGTTACCTTTCTCTCTGAGTTTCTGGGATGAGGCATTATTTATATGTAGACTATTGTCCTTATCTTTGTTATCCTCATCACATCATGTTCTCTGGCCTTCATCAGATGCTTGCCAATCCAGATATCCTTTAAGAAATTTTGAATGAACCCTTTATTTAATCTATGGGAGTGGATTGTTCTTGTTCCTCTGCCTATGACTAGGACAGTGATTCTCAACCACGCAATGTTGTAACCTAGGGAAGGTTACTGATTAGAATAATCACACAAAGGTTGGTAATGAACGATAATACTTAGGACATGAACAACACATATAAGATTTGCCAACAGCACATAGAAGTAGTAGTCATCTGCTAGAAGTGAGTCAAGTGAATTCCACAATGAATCTCCAACTGCAGACCCACATACAGTATTTACTACTGTATTTATGTGAATGGGGACATACCCATTATTGTTTGTAGGATGGCTGCAACACCTATAGGTATGTGTGGAAGTAATAATGGCACAGTATTAGTATTTGAATAAATGAATAAGTATTAATTATGTGAAGATAAGAATTGGCAACTATTTTTAGTGATCAAGGGCTCAAAATAAAATATTCAACAATAGCCATTGATATATTTTGGGTTTCAATATAAAAGGAATATCTTGTATTAGCTAAAAAGCCTTTATCAGTTTTATTGCAATTTTCTACTTATTTATGTGAATTTACTCTTCTCAACCTTAAATAACATCAAAAATAAGAAGCAAGAAAGACTACTGAAGAAGAAATGAGGTTTTGCTTATTGCACATTCAATCAAACATTGAAGAAATCACAAAAAACACCAGACACAGTGGTGTAATGGTTAATGGCTTGAATTGTAATTTGGAGCTGAGTTCCAATCCCAGTCAGCAAAAGTTACCAGTGCCTTCTGTTTTGAAAACACAAAAAACAGCCTTTTTTTTTTTTTTTTTTAATAAAGCATTTGCTGATTTTTTTTTTTTTTTTTTTTTTTAAATTTAGCTGACAATAAAATGAAGAATACAAACATCTTATAACAGTGAAATAACATTTGCCACAAAATAATTCTAATTTCCTTTTCCTTTCAAGTAAAGGGAGAAAAAAATGATAAATTTAAAAATTTAATAAATTTTTTTTTTTTTTCTTTTTCTAGATGAAGATGGTTACCTTGGAGCTGTACCTGTGACTGTAATAGAACAGTGGCAAGACAACCTTTTACGGTGGCATAAAGAAAATATAGAACTAGTAAGCATTTTTTCTATGATGTTTTTTTTTTTTTTATTTTCATATTAAAGTAATGTGATTGGAAAAATTAACTGAAAAATGACAATACATAGTCCCATCAATAAGTTAAAATAAGTGCATTTTCCATCATTAAGCTGTGTGTGTGTATGCATACATATATATGCGTGGTACTTATTGGAAGCACTCAATATCAGTGATAGCTAACATTTAGTTGGGTTGATGTGAGTTTGTCACATCAATGCAACTGAATATATATATATATATATATATATATATATATAAAATTTTCTGTTTACACATTATTTTATTGATATAAACAGAAAATATATTAGATAATTGTAGGATTTTCTCTCTCTATATATATATATATATATATATATATATAATATAAAAAGCTCAAACACTAATATTCCATGGTTATAATTTATTACAATTCCAATGTAATAAATTTTAACCTTGGAATATTAGTGTTTGAGCCTTTATATTATATTCTTACTCTGTCCTGGACATTGAGTTCTACCTGGATTCTATCCTCTTGGAAATATATATATATATATATATATATATATATATATATATATATATATATATCAAATTAAGAGATCAGCCAGTTCCGCTACCTTGGTTTCAACCTTTTGGTATCTTCAGGTGATTTCCATCAATTGATTTCCTAACAGTTTATTTTTTCAAAATAAATTCATGAATACTATATTGTTTTAAAAAAATAAATGAATAAGCGCACGACATGAGGAGTAGTAAATCAAGTGTATTGGAAATGTATTGGGGGGGGGATTAAATGAAATATACATACTTTCTTTTCATCCCACTTCATATGAACTCAAAAGGAACTTTTTAGTATGTATACAATGGGACATAATTCTGATCTCTGATTCAAAAGGTTTTTTTGGTCAGAAAATGTTATACCTATTTTTTCTTGTTGATAAAGGTTGCAGATGTAGCTATGATTGTCATAAGGTTTTTACTTTTTTTGAAATTTTCCAGTTTACAATCAGATCTTTATTTTTTTTCCTTTAATTTCCACACATGGTTAGCTACTTTAGAAGAATATCTAAGGTTTTAAAAAAAAAAGAAGTGGTACAATCATAAGTCATCTTTTAAACTAGAAAGCCTTAGAAATTCTACAAAACTAGCCAACCATGTGTGAAAATTAAAGGAAAAAATTTAAAAAATCTGCAATATTTTGTTAGTTGTGAAGCTCAAATATTTAATGATGTGAAATAGGAATTTCTATGAATATTGTCATAGAACTCGTCTATTAGCTTATTTAATCATTAATTGAAGAAATAAGATTCATCAGAAAATTAAAATACAAAAATCATGAAATTTTCACGGATCTTTCTAGTAATGATAATTCCTCATCTAAAAAAAGTAAAAATTATGTATGCAGACAAAAATTGAATAACAAAATATTTTTTTTATTTAATTATTTTATTTTATTTTCAGCAAAATTTAACCAAAGTATGTGCAAATGCCTACACTCAGTATGTAAAGTCAAGGCCACTCCCAGCTGCTGAATCTGTGAAAAGAATGAAGGAACTTGATCAAGGTGGTTTCAAAATTGGAATTCACCCATTATTCAGTAAGTTCACTTTTTCAATACAATCTCATTGTCATCAATTTTTCTACATAAAAGAAGAGCTATAACCACTGCAAATGAAAAACACATGTAAAAATAATGTTTAGATAACTAGTTGAGCCTCACTATCTGTGCATTCTCCAACAATCCATGGGTGGGGTCTTATGTTCAATTAGCCAGATCAGCAAAATGTTGAACATTTTCTGCTGATTCATAATCTTCTACACAGAAGATTTATTTTGTCCCTGTGCTGATTCCTTGATAGTTCTTAATTTATTGGCTTTTTTTTTACATTTTGCTTATAATTTACATGTTTGACCTCAGTTGATTCCAAACAGTGAGGCTCAAAATTCTTTCCTTTTTTTTTTTTTTTGTTGTTATTGTTTCAATTCACCTCTTTGTGGTGATTTATTCTATTATCCTTGCTCTTCTTCTTCCTGTTTGTTACACACACACACATATATATATATATATATATATATATATATATATATATATATATATATATATAAATTTTAATATGTTCATTTAGATAGCATTAATAAAGTTTTATAACCCCACCCTTGTTTCAAAATTCAGTTTAAGCACCTAATTTGGATATTTTGGTCTTAGGTTGCTTTTCAATTGCTTTGTTAATGTATTATATTTCCCAAAAAGTTTTCTCATAAAACGTTTGTTTTTAGTTGCCTGTACAATTTTTCATTTCTGCCTTAAATGCCAGGAACCAGTTATTTGCATTAAAAACCATGAAAACTCCTCATGGTTGTAGCCTTGATAGCAAGACCACAAAATTGAGATAACACATAGTTGGCATCATAATAAAAACTGCTAACCACAAGTTATCTCGTGGTTGGCAGTCAGTGTGTTAAATTAACCAACCTAACATCTTTTCAATAAGCATTTTTGATTAATCTGATAACTAAAATATAATTAAAAAATATCTGAGTTGTATTTTGGCAGTCCTACTCTAAGACAATGATTGCTAGTCTCTGAAGAATTAAGTATTTTGTGACAAGATTGGTCCTGCTAGATTGGCTTAGTATACCCACAAGTCAAGTGGGCTGCAAATGATTTTATCTGAGCCTGAAGCACTAGTGATTTATGACAACCAACAGTATAGTCTAGATATGAGAACTTCAAAGTAACCACCCCTTTTACACAGATAAAAAAGAAAATATTATAAATAAAAACTTTTGGGATCAAGTGCCACTAAGCTGGAAGGTAGAGAATTCTAGTCATGGGCCTATATTGTCAGCCTGCATTCTCAAATTGGTGGTTAGAAGCTGTCGATTGGAAGATGACAAGCTGTTAGTGGAGATGTAGTCAGATGCAGTCAGAGTTTTTGTTGTCTAAAGGGAAGGTCTGGTCTATTATACCATTGTGAGAGAAGATCCAAATAACAGTAAAAATGTCCCACATGTCCAACTGTCAAAGATGTTTACATTATCAAGTTGGTGATACTATTACAATTCTTACAGTGACTATTTGGTTACCTTGCTTTCATATCTACTTCCTGATTTTTCACAATGTTTTTTTTTGTTTTTTTTGTTTTTTTTTTTAAACTCTAAATTAAATAATTTTGACATTTCTAATGTTATTTTCTTTTGATTTTTATCAACAGAAAATCAGATTTCTACCGTGGAGAATGAAAAGATAAAGTTTTTACAAGCCTTGAAGAATTACAAAACTGGATCAGTAAGTTCAAAAGCTTCTATTTTTGTTCAGTATCCAATGATGCAGATGAGATATCCCTTGACATGAACAGCAAAAGAACCATCTACCCCATCGATTAAATAAAGTGTTGAGTTCAAAATCCTTTAAAGGTTATTTGGATTGACAGACACCTGAAGAAGACCAGAGAACACAACAACCGAAATGTTGTGATAACAACAAACATGAGGACATTAGTCTGGATGTAAATAACAATAAAAATATGATGAAAAGAAAAACTAGTAAAAAATTTATAGTGACTAATAATTTAAAAAAAAAAAAACTGACATCAGATTTAATGTATGCACAGTGCCTACAGCCACATCATGTTGAAACCCTAATTCCTGTACGATCACTAAGCAATATCGAGCCTGGTCAGTAACTAGATGGGTGACCACTTGGGAATTCCAGATGCTATAAACCTGGATGTCCAGGTGTTGTAATGGATAATGGCTTGGAATTTTTGAATCGAAGAGCCAAGTTCCAATTCCTGTTGGGTTTGTTAATATTATTATTTTTTCACCAAAATTCCTCTTTCATGTTTATAAATCTACCCTTCATCTATGCATTGAGTATTGCTGCCATATCTGGTCTGGTACTCTTGTAATATATATATATATATATATATATATATATATATATATATATATATATATATAGATTCTTGACAAAAAATCCAAACAAGGGTCTGTAATGTTATTGACCATGGCCTGGTATCTTGACTTTCCCACCATCATGACATGGCTTCCTTGTATCTTATCTATAAATATTTTCATAGCAATTGTTCTAATGAGCTCTTCTCCTTGGTACTTCAGTCACGTAAATTGAAGCTTGCTACTAATTCTCACTGTTTTACTGTTGAACTAGCTAGTTGCAACTGTGAGTTCCATTCTAATAGTTTCTTTTCTTGCACTTCTCACCTGTGCAATTCTGTTTTCCTGCTTCCCTGTCACCGACAATCGTCTAAAATTTCAATGCAATATCAATTACCATCTTCCATTTTCTGACTAAAGTCTTCACATTCTCTTTCACTCTCAGTAACCTCTGGTATTATCACCTTGCTTGGGATGAAATGATTAAAAAAAAAAAAACAAGGGTCAGTTGATGGTCACAAGTCCCACAAAAAAGGAAAAGGGAGGATGTGGCAGTGACTTTTCATTGGCCAGTGAATTAACAAACCAATGGTTAGGGAAAAGGCGAGATTTCCTGGTAAAAAAGGAGTTTTTTTTCCCTCCAAGATTCTTCTGTGAAAATTTTAATCTCTGAGGAATGTGGGTCTGCAAGTGCTAGGACTAGGAAGGTTCTCTCATTCACTTCCCCCTCTCTATTACTGATAAGTAGTCAGCAAAATTGGGACAATAAAAGTAGCCAATACAGATTGTATGCATTGTGCTATTTAATACTATACAAAAAAGGTCTTCATTAGCCCAAAAACTAGGTACCTCCCCTTTTTCGCTGAAAAAAAAAAAAAAAATTATCGTCAAAATCTTTATTATTAAGAGGAAAGACCAAAAGTATGTTTTATTATTTTATTAATATTTTTAATCCTTTCTAGCACATTTGGAATTTTGGTAAAAAAAAATTTTTTTTTTGTGTTAACAGTTGACGCAATATTTACAATTAGTATTTTAGCATCTTTTTTCCAGTGAAAAACACATTGATTTGGAATTTCTTGCAAAAATCAAATAATTTCAGGTTTTAATGAAACTTTCAAGACTTATTCACAAATGAATGAAATTATTTTTTTATTTTTTTTATTTTTTTTTTTTTTACATGTGTGACCCCTTCACTTAATTTCATGAAATTTTGAAAAATTAAATATTCATTGGAAATTTTTTTTATTAGTTAAAAGCAGGACTCCTTGGAGAATGTAAATCTTTTTTTTTTTCTTTTTTCAAACTATTACTCATTTCCAGAAAGCCAAATTTTACAAACTAGACTTTTTCTAAAAACTTTAATAATTTTATTTTTTTTAGTAACATTTTTATATTACTACACTTTCTCACTAAGTATTAAAATGAAACAAAACAATCCTATACCGAAAAAACAGAAAAAGCAGAATTCCCTGAAACAGAATTAAGGAAAATATGAAATGGAAAATCGGCAGCCCCTCTCTTTGGCTACATCTGTACTAATTTTATTTCAAACTACTGTTAATTATGGCATAATATTGTTTGACTTGAGATTATAATGAAATTTGTTATTTCAGACAGTGTTTGAGATTTGTGCAAACAACAAGAACACCAAACCCTTGGAGGTGATGAAAAAGAAACGAGAACAGCATGAGAAAGTGATTCAACAAAGAATGTACAAAGAACAACAGGTGGAAACAGAAAAAAGATTAGCAGAAGAAGACATGGCCGCAGTCGAGCCCACTTCTCTGGATCTGATTGAATCAACAGATCAAGAACTCACGGTAAGTATTCACAGACTTTCCAGTATAAGAGGTCAACTCTGTAACATTTGTGTGTGTGTTAAGTCCAGCTCCAAGCCAAAGAATGAGCAAAGGTGGAAAACTGAAACCTGCTAGACCAGCAAGGGAGTCCATCTACAGCAATAGTTCCCAAACTTGCTCACATCTCATCAAATTTTATGTAATAAAAACTATATTGGAAAATTAAAAAAAATAAGGGGTTAAAGGAGATAACTACAGATTCGAAGTCAGAACATTATCATTGATAACAATTTGCACACCCTGGTTACTATATTCTTAATATTTGATATAATGCAAAAATATCACAATGATAAAATTGGTCAATAACTATTTATAACGGGACTCATGCATGCAATTACAAGTAATGCATAATAGTATTTTAAATTTTGAAATCATTTTTATTTTTGGCATATGAATTTTTTAAAACTGTTTTTAAATCTTTGATTGTCTTTCAATCATTCTGTCTCACCTGCTATCCTCTTCCAGTGCACCTATGAGACAGCCGCACCATTTGGGAACCACTGATTTAGGGGAGGGAAAGTTCTGATTTTAAACCTCTACTGCCTTGCAGTCAAATCTAAACACAGAAAAGCCTATGGAAGTAAATCCAATCAGAAAACGCAGAGTGGAGCCCCAAAAGTGGTTGGCTGTCAACACAACTTTCTAGCAACTCCTGCAGACTTTATTGGTGAGAGAAGACAACAGTGAAGAAATATTTATGATAGGAATTTCCAAAAGAGTTTAAATAACCTGTGTGTGAACAGATATATTTCTTGTTAAAACTTTCCTAAAGCAACATAAAATACCAGTAAGCAAGGCAGTTTCAAGAATGAAACAAGTACATTAATATTACAAACATCTTATAGAATTTACAAATCCTGTGATTTACAAAGAGCCTATCCTCTTCATAAGTAGTGGTACTCTTGTATTCTATGTACTCCTGTTGGGCAGACATGAAGGTTAATATTATATTCTTCAGAAATCCATTCTTGAGACTTTTCTGGATTTATGTTATGCTTATTTATATGTCCTCGTCTTTGTTGTTATCACCATTGTGAGGTACATTAAATTATCGTCTTTGTTGTTATCACCATTGTGAGGTACATTAAATTATCGTCTTTGTTGTTATCACCATTGTGAGGTACATTAAATTATCGTCTTTGTTGTTATCACCATTGTGAGGTACATTAAATTATCGTCTTTGTCGTTATCACCATTGTGAGGTACATTAAATTATCGTCTTTGTCGTTATCACCATTGTGAGGTACATTAAATAAAAATATTGTGTCTCTTCAGAGCATAGGTAGTCATAACCCTCTACAGATTCCTTTTCTTTCTTTTCTGCAAATTGCCATGCCTTCTTGGGAAAGATTGTAAAGTGGCTTTCCACTGCTTTCTCTACAGTTTGAAATTCAGAGTTTTCCTTTGAAACTGATTAGATTGGTTGCCAGCCAAGGCTAAAATGTCCAGTCCATCCTGCTATTTAACACATAGATGGGGGTGAGGAAATCAGTCTAAATGTAAATAATAACTCCTAATTCTAGAAATTTGTTAGACATTCTCTCTTTATTAAATCATGTTTTATTTTTTGTTTTTAATTTTTATTCATCTCAGACTGTATTTAGTTCCGTTGTTACAACAAAGGCATCAAAAGGTATCTTCAAGAAGAAGCAGAAGAAAAATTCTGTCAAAGACGAGAATTATGTCCATTATCGACCTGCAGACTATCAAACAGAGAAATCGTGAGTATTAATTTCATTTTAAAATAGGTAATCAACACTATTAAGTAAGATTAATAAATTATATGTATTATATTCTTATAATTGTTTTATATTTCAAACAATTATAAGATAACATATCAAAATGGAAAATAATAAATAGAACAAGAACTTGTAAAACCTGGGATGAGCCATGCCATTTATGCCTACATGAAAAACTACACATTAGACATGAGTTAACGTTTTTTTGCTGACATCAAATTTTCACATTAAATAATTAGCATAAAAAAAAAATTTAAATCTCACAGTTTAATAAAAGGTTTAAAAGCTTAACCCAATCATAAGATAAAAAACCCTTTATGAAGTCGTCAAAAAAAACAAATTGTAGTTCAGTGTGACGCGTTTATGTACGAACAGCCCTCTTAAGGGAAAAAAAAAAAATTCTTCAGACACTTAACGACATACAACGGTGCTAACAACTCTCTGTTGCTGAGACAGACTAGAAGATGTGGGTATATGAATGTCATCATTCGCTTTGAAATAGACATCCCAACCCTGCTTTGGCTTGGCCTCTTTCCGGAGGTGACTGATATGTTGATACAATTGTTAACTCTTACGCCCCTTATTGAAATGGTTGCTTCAGCTATTTCCATAGTAATTAATTTTATGAATGAACATGATTATAAAGATGCGTAAACTTCAATATTAGTTATTCCTTAATTTTCGCTTGAGGATGAAACGGAGCTTGATGCTTTAATTTTAACAATTATGTTGGAGTTTTTGGCTCTTGTTTTTGAAACATGAGCACTCTTATCTAGCAAAGCAATCATATTTTTTTTTAAATAATTATAATTGAAGCCCTACTTTTATATGAAGCACTGTTTTTTAAAAATAAAAATACTAAAGCACTCTGGATTACTTACCTAACATGTTCTTTCCTATTTTTCTATATATTTGCGCACACACACACACACACACACACAGAGCTTTAAACACTACACAAATTCTGGGCACCCTACAATTGGTGGAGAAAAAGCATGTTAATTTTAGTATCATGTTAATCTTATCATAGTCATTTAGCACCACAAACAAACTAAAAATGGATATTTTTTTAGAAACACGTTAACTTTTATTATTAAATCATTACATGTTTTAATGTTCAATTCAAATACAAACTAAAGGTCTGCTTTCAAAAGTAAATATTTAAAAGTAAATAAATTTAAATAAATTGACCTTCTTTTACATTATAACACAATTAACCAAAAAACAAAAAAACTCTAACTCTTTAAGCTTGTTCTAACTTTATAATAAAAGCCGAAATGATTAAACTTGTTGAAGGCATCAAATTAATGTGAAAGTGTAAAAAATAAAAAAAAAATATTTTTAAAAAATAAAGCTGAATTCAGATTATTTCTGAAAAACAAAAACACAAATTTTTATTATTTCTAAATGAAATAACACTCTTATATATAACTTGTATAACTGACACAAACGCATAAACTTAGACATACACACATTGTGGTGGATTGAAACCCAGCCAACTAGGCTTAAACTTTCTTAGACTGTAGCAGTTTGTCTGCCAAAATAATTTAATCTTCAGCTTTGAATCAGGTCAAAAGAAAAATGTCAACACCATCTTAAAGTATTTCCATATTAAGCATTTAAAGAAAAAAATGTAAAATATCTCTCCCCACTCGGATGTCAGCCCTTCAAATTTTGCAACTTCAATTTTTGATTTTATTTTAGGAGCAGCAAAAGGAGCAGATTATCATTCCTTTGCTCCTATAAAATGAAGCATCTCTCTCTCTCTCTCTCTGTGAAAAAAAGGAGCCCTTTGCTCCAACAAAAAAGAGCATACTCCTTTCAAGAGGTCTCCTTAAATCCCTGTATATACTGTGGTGGCATCCTACCAATTCACATGAACCAATTGTTAAAATTATAAATGCTTAGTGAACGGGTTGTTGGATCATCCAAAAATAATCTTATATATTAATAGCCAATATATAATATCTAAAAATATAATTGATACTGTTGCTGTAAGTTCTGCAAAGGTTGGAATAGGGTTTTCTGTGATGAACATAGTTTATTATAACAAAAGAAATAGTCTTGAAGTTAAAAATGTGGCAAATCTTCTAGTCATAAATTTGATAGTACTTTCATTGGATCTTTGGGACTGCAGCAGTTCAGTTCATGGCTAAGAAACCATAACACAGCTGATGACACCAGAGTCCAAAAAGCATCATACTTCTGAACAGAAATATGATGAGAACAGAATTCCAATCTATAAATATCTTAATAAAGAAATGTTTTCTATTGACTTATAAAATTGGTTTAATTCTTTTTGATACTATAAAGCAATATGTTTCTTTTCTCAGATTGAAAAGAAAATAAACAAAATAGGTTCTAAAGATTACCTACCTTTTATAGAATCAGTTCCTGGAAATGTGGGATGCCATTATTGCATATATATATATATATATATATATATATATATATATATATATATATATATATATATTTATTTAGAAAAACAACTTTCCTGCTACTGTAGTTTCTACCAGTTATGTATTGTCAGGCAGTAAAATTCTTAATATTCATTATCTTGATTACCCAGGCTGGAGATGCCAATTCAACTCTGCTAGTCATACCATTTTTGCTGTTTGAGATATTAAATGTCACCATGCCACTGGCTAAGCAGGCAGACCATTGTACTAATGAGTGCTGTCACAATTTGAATTCAGTTTTCTTTATCTTAGATTGGTTGTCAATGAAGGCTAGAGAGTCTAATCTACCCTACTAATTAACTCATAGCTGTAGGGAGAAGTGCTGGATACCTTTCCTAAGGGTAGTTGTGTAAAAGTGAATGCAATGACCTTGACTAGACTTTGAATTTGGCACACTGCACTGATCCCACTTTCTGCATCAATGACCACTACACTATATACGCATCCATAATTTTTATATGTGCACAAAAATCTCTTATTTAATTTTGGTAAACTTGTACACATTTGTTTAAGCTTAGTTTAGTCAAGATTTGAAATAACTAAACATGAAATGGTCTGTGAGACAAGCTTGTTAACCATCGCTTGTTAACCTCAGGTATTCAAATTTAGAGTATTTTAATATTGATGACTTTTTTTTCTTTTTGTCTGAGTGTTAATGTTGGATTAGCTTGAGACGCTGCAATGTTTTCTTTTTTTTCTTTCAGCCTAAGTGTTAATGCTGGATTCTGTCGAGAGGCAGATAATTTGGGTTTTGAAGTAGCTACAGACGATGTGAATGAAATGAGGAAGACTCAAAGCAAAACTAAATGGTAAATATTCTGAGTGAAGACAATTCTGCCATTCCCACTTTTTCATTTCTCTCTCTCTTTTTTTTTTTTTTCTTCCATTTGCTTCTCTCTAGCAAGGATTCAGTTTACTAGCCTTCTGCTTTTTTATTTTTTTTTTTTTCTTTTCTTAATGATGGCATTACTTCAACTGACAAATATTACTACTTCTTAACTCTAACATATGAAATAGATTAGTGTTCTGGAGTCTGCAGATTCAGTTCATGTAAAGATGTGTATCACTTCTCTTTCAATGTTACTGTGCTGTGGTTTGTTTGAATAAATCATCTGCTAACAGGCTAGAAAAATAATTAACCCATTAATATTCACAACCCCCAAAATGAGACAGCATTAATGAGTTATTGGTAGAAATCTATAATTAAATTCAGATAATGATCCTGGATCAATTTGAGACTGTATTTAGATTATGAAACTTTTCAAATGAAAAAAAAATAAAAAAATTTTTTATTCTGACAAATGTTGTGAGGAGAGAAAAGTTTTAAAACAAGGAAACCCCCATCAGTACTGGAAAGAGCAATAATAGCCACTGGACTTGAAACCTGTTTTCCTAAAAAAAAAAATTGTTTAAGAGAAAGATTTTATAAATTTCAACCAAAAACAGTACTGGCTGTTCAGTTAGTGAATGCCAAATTTTTCCTTGCAGGAAAACTACTAATATTACTATTAATAGTAGCTAGTAGTTTGATGAGCTGCATTATTTGAATAAAAGTTTAATAAAGTCTCATGTAATTTGTAAACTTACCCTCAGATATTTATGGCATTAATAACTTAATTTAATCTATGAAGATGTATAATAGTTCCTTTGTAGATAAATATAAAATTTGTTTAAATTCCACCATCTGAGTTCGGACATTCATGCAATTACACCACCTCACTACAAACATTAAATTTAAGGCTCCAGAATTTAACTGCTAAATAGTTCAAGAAACACATGATCCCAAAGATTAAAACATTGGTTAAAACATGTGTTGCTGTTGAGAGTTCAATCCCAGGGTCTGGTAGTGTTGAAAAGTTCAGTGAAAGAAGTAAACAAGAGACAGAAAAGTGAACAAGACTGAAGAGTATTAACTGATATTTTGTATCATTTAATATTCATCAGTTAAAACAATTTGCCCCTGTGGATTGAATAAAGTGTTTATTTAAACATTCCAAGCAGGTAACTGAGTATGAAAACAGACACCTGAAGGAGGTGAGTACAATGGCCAAAACTGTGTGAGTGTAACAACCAAGATGAACATAATAATAACAAAGCCTACAATAAATTTGTTTATTGAATGATTGATATCTATGGAAATATTTGACATTTTTTGTCAGCTTCTACAGATGATAAAATCTTATGATATATTTATTTTTTATTTCATTTTCTCTTCAGGGACAGAAAAAAGAAGAAGTTTGTCTCCTTGAATGCTAGTGAGAGTAAGAAGGAGAAAAAAATCAGAACTGAAAGTGGAGTCCTCATTCCCGCATCTTACAAAACTAATTTATATCCTTTTTTCACTAATGAAACCACTTTTTACCATAACGTCATGCTATTGTTGTTATATGCACATGCTGTATTATTTCATTATGGTTTTTTGATACAGTTATGACGTTGCAACATTCATCTAGCCACTCCATTCTATGTTCAATCCCGGCAACTGACCATTGAATGGATCACTTCAATCCAAGCCTTGCCTTGTCCCACATTGTATTTTGATTTAAATTACAAAGCTGGTGAGGATCAATTGTCGACAGGAATCATTGAATTGGTTTGGTCTGGACAAAGTGAAGCCACAGGTCATAGGATAAATTGTAATAAAGAAAATGTTTTATATAACATTTCTTGTACAGAGCTGGTAGTACAATATCAGTTCTTCGGGTAGGAATATATGTCCTTCATGCGCAAATATATTTGTCATGTAAAATTATTTGACCCTTTCCTTTTCAAATATTTCGTAATACTTTGTTCGTCATGACTAAGTCTAGACAAAGCTTCTGGAACACAACTCAGTCAGAGGTCTTCTTCAGCGGCAGGAGATCACATGAGTTTGGTGAAGCAGTCATCCCTTGCCTGGCATCGGTGGCTTCTCTTTTTTTGATTTTGATTCTCTGTTTATATGGACCTCCATCCAAAACCAGTATGGAATCTGATGCGGGTTGAAATTTCAGTGATTCCCCTAATCTCCACAGAATGTTTGTTTGACTCTGGGAAATTAATTGCATGCCCAATTTTGGGGAGGCCCCTCTTCCAAGGAGTAGTGGTAGCAGAATATTGATCCACCCTAACTCCCTCTTTCTCATATTTGTGCCTCCTACCAATACTGCTGAAGAGGTGTTCTATCTAGGCTTTTCGCTTTGATTGTCACTTCGACCAATCCAATCTCTAGACTTCATGGGTGAGCAGGCGTAGCATAGCTCCAATCATTAATGTTCAAAATTTTCATCAACGGAGTTCCTCAACCCCATCCGCCTTCCCAATTGGATACACACCAGCAACTCCCTCGACAGTCTCCTCTAAAGAAATTTCACTGCTCCAGTGATTTACACCTTCCCTCTTTTTTTTTTTTTTTTTTTGAAAGTGATAAAAAAAACAAAAAAACAATTCTTTAACTCTGCCTTTGTTTCCAGAAAAACACCTTAAATCTTTAAATTTTATCTTTCGATCGACTTTTCTTTACCGGGTTATGGCCTGCAGACAATTCCTTAACCTGGATTTTAAAAACAATAATGTCTCTATTTCAATGTCAGCCATACAGTTTTTTGTAGGAAAAATCAAATGTTTCTGTCCTTCCCCTCTGCCTTTATCCAAGGGGGAAAAAAAACCTCTGAATTTAATAAATCTTGGTTCATTTCTTGATATAGCTATTGAGCTATCCCTTCAACCCTTAAAGTGATATTTTTCAACAAAATACAACTGCAGAAATTTGTCTTTTTTTATTATTATGAAAGACATTATATTCTTTTTCAAATTATTTTTAAAGATGTGTTCCAAAAGCTAAACAAAATATTAAGAAACAGGAAAAGAGTTAAACTGCTTATGTCATATCAATCAATTCCCTTATATGGGAGTAAATGTTGGACAATTTCCTTACAAATGCATAGGAGGCATGAAGCAACAGAAATGTGGTTCTACAGAAGGATACTGAGAATACTAGGGACAGAACATGTGAGCAACAAAGTTTTAAAGAAAATGCAAGAAAAAAGGAAAATTGTACTTAGAATCAGAATTTGAGAGTTGGAATTTCTGAGACATAATAAGGAAAGAAGGTTTGAAGAATATGATACTCACAGGAAATATTGAAGGCAAAAGGGGTAGAAGGAAACATTGAGTGACCTGCCAAATGATATAGTGTAAGTGAATAGTTGAACTGGGAATGGAAGAGATAGTAATAAGAAAAACAAACATGGGGCTGTGAAGTTGTGAAGAGCTATGATTACTTATGTCCTGAAGAGACATGGCACATAAAAGATCTGTGTAGACTGACTGATATGACATTCTGTGCTTGGGAGCAACATTTTGATCCTAGGTAGAGTGTACAAGCACTGATCCTAGCCCAAAGTGCTCATCTGTAGATATCATTCTAAAGCCTTCAATGAAGAATATTTCCACTTGCATGTTATATATATATATATATATATATATATATATATATAAAAAAAAACACACACAAAGGTCTGATCAAAAAGTATCAGGACTGTTGCTATGGTAAATGAGCTAAAGTACGTATTGTGAAGCCATGTGACACGGATTGACCATGGACGCTGTTGTGCATGCTCACTAAGTTGTAACATTCTTGTTCACTTCCATTGTTTGTAGCAGTGCTTAGAAGGAAAGTGTGTAGAATGTGGTCATTTCACTACACCACAGAGGTTCCATCAGTGACCATAACTAGTGGTTTGACAACCACCATATTCCCCAAATCTCTCCCCTTCCAACTTTTCTTCTTTCTAAAAATCAAATCCCACTTGAAAGGAACATGATTTCAAGAGAAAAGAAAATCTGAGAGAATGCGATGAGGCAGTTACTTGCTATCCCAAAAAGGAGTTCCAGGAATGCTTCCATCAATGGAAACAGCTGGATAACATATATGGCTTCAGAAGAGGGGTTTACTTCAAAGGAGATTAAATGCCACATTGATGTGTGTTATAGTTTTCTTTTTATAGCACTAATCCTGATACATTTTGAGTGTAAGATCAAGAATTCTTCCCTGCTTATTCTTCTTATTTTATTAAAAGAAACATCTTATTAATTAGAAATGGAATTATCCATTTTCAACTGACTTTAATTTTTTTTTTTTTTTTTTGTATATTCTGATTCGACTGGAAATTTTTTTTTTTCCTAGTTAGTGCATTTAAATGTTATAACAAAATTTGCACTACAATGTGCCATTTTTTGAGTAAGAAGCAAACAAACATTAAAAAAAATCAGATCTTTGTTATAATGGCTTTCTGGATCATCTCTTTTACAAATGGAATTTTTTCAGGATTATTTTCTCATGAATCCAGAAGTGGAATCATTTAGACATTTATTCTCTTTGTCCCACTCACAAAATATCCACCTAAATTTACCTGGAATAAAAGATTTTGGAGAAATTATTTCAGTCTATTAACATTTTACAATTAAGAATGTCCAGATGAATTAGTTATCTTTTTGTGACATTCTATTTTTAGTCTGTCAGTCAGATGGTACATGCCAGTTCATTTTTTGCTTATATGTACACCAGTCCATTTTTTTGTTTAATCATATAATGTAGATATCTGGCTATTGATATTTAAGGCTAATATTTTTTTATATATTTTGATAATTTTAAATCCAGAATCAAAAAAAAGGTGTGATACTCAGACCAGAACAATTAATATAAATTTATAATTTGAGTTATATTTTTTAAATTTGTGATAATTTGTAACAAATTTATATTTTATCTAACAAAATTATGTCGGGGCTTAGGGATACCACTCTAAAACACTATAATCTTAACAACTAGCACTGTAAATCTAATGCCAAAATATAAAACACTATAAATAAAATCTTGGTATTATCGTTATTTTTTTAATTGTTATTAACCTATTTGCATTATTATTTTATTAAGACAAATGAAGTATTATTAAAAAGACAAAGTAATTTTTCCAAAATCTGAATCCCAAGTAGTGCAAAAGGTAACCAAAAACCACTCCACTATCTTTCCCCAAAATGCATGGCAAGTCATAATGATTATGAAAAAAAAAAACATCCTTGGGATAATCCAGTCAGGGATTAAAACAATTGTATATCTATAACAGTCTAACATGTTCCTGCAGGGTTTAAGGGAAAACAGATATCCATGATTTTCTTTTTAATATCTGTAAATTGTGAATCGCTATGATCATTTTTGGGAAAGATAGTGAAGTGGTTTTCCATTGCCTTCACCACAGTTATGAATTCAGTTGTCATTCTAATAGACTGGTTGGCCTATGAAGGCCAGACAGCCCATTCTACCCTACTACTTGTACTCATTGCTGTAGTAGAAGAGATTTTAATGCTTTTCTTAAAGATATTAGTCTAAAGTGAATATAACAGATCAGCCTGTGAATTTCCCTTTTCCATGCTCACAACCATTGAGCCACTTATGCATTCTTTTAAATTTACAGAAAAAGAAAGAAAAAATTATGAACAAGTTAGCATAAGCAGACGACAGTTTCCTTCCACTGTCAGCCATCAAAAATAAAATCTCCATTATGTGTTGAGGCATTTTTCTTTTGTACATGGATAGTGTTGCATCTGCTTGAAGCATACATAACATTGTCACATTTATTTGCTTTTCAAATTAAAATTGACCAAAAACATTGTCAGTCATCATTTCTACCCTAACAAGGTTTTGTATGGATGCACAATTATTTGAAAACAAAATGAGTACTTGTTCAAAGTTATATTTAAAACTTTGGTTTGTTTTACGGCATATCAACCTCAATGGGTAATTTAATGCTGACAAAATTTTTATTGCTGGTAAAAAAATTTTTTTTTTTTTTTTTTCCAAAAATGTATTGCTCATAATAATGTATTGCTGGTAATAATTTTTTACAAAGTATTTCTGGTATTAAAATCTATTTTTAAAGTTTCATAGTGTCTTGACCCCAGTTTGGGGTTAACTATTTAACCATATCTGTGACCCTAACAGGTGCTACCACCCCCAGGTTAGGGTGGACCTGGGAACACCAGCAATTAAGAGGGTTCCACACTCCTCAAATTCTGATCAGAGGCCTTGTTGTTGGACATAGTTTATCATCACACTCAGGACGGTAAAACTTTGGTCTTATGCTGTAAAGAGTATATAAAAACTGTCAAAATTATTTTTTATTCCTTTTGAAATGTTACAGAAACCATTTTAAACAATTTCTTTTTAGGCAACCATATTTGCCTCATTGCTCAGTAATTAGAATGCTTGTTTTGAAAGAACAAAAAAAACTTTTCATCATCAAATAATGCTAGAGTTTCAGTTACTATCGCTTTTATTTATTTTTAAAAAAACTGCTATATTATCAACTTAGTGTTCTTTTTGCAATTAGCTACCCAACAAAACTTTGTTCTGACCCCAAGACTTACTATTATTGTTTCTCTTATCTGTTTTGGAATTTTTTTTTCTTTTCCCTTAACTAATGTTTACATATGAGAAATGGAAGCAAAGAAATATGATTGACGATCAAGATGAAGAAAGTGAGAAAGAAGGAAAGCAAACAAATAAAACACGTCAAGAAGAAGGAATAAAAGTTTTGGGATTGAATAAGAGACGTGAGTTAACTTTCATCTTTCATCAAAGTGTTGTTTTTTTTCTTCTCATTCTCCATAATTTTTTTTTATGTCATTTAAACATTTGAATACAATTTTAATGCATAACTTTACATGAAATATAGTTACTAAAATGTATCTACCTGAGATCGAATTTGATGAATTTTTGCACATAACATTTGAACTTGCTTGCTTTACTTTTTTCTTTTTTTTTTTTTTTACATTATTATAGATTTAGTATTTCATTTCAAAGATGAGTAATTGTCAATATATCTGTCCTATTTCAAACTATTGCTCACATCTTAGTTTGATATAGATATTATTATAGACACATTGTATACTTGTATTATTTCAAACTAGTGTTCTCATTTTGATTGATATAGATGCTCTTATAGACATGTTTGTTAATATACTTGTATTATTTTGATAATATTTACATTTGTGTCAACCAAGATGAGAATAATAGTTTGAAATAATACAAGAATATTAACAACCACTCAACTCTGAAATAAAATATTTAATTATGAAAAACAGTACGAACCTGCTATCATAATCAAATGTCAAAAACCATCTGACTATAAATATAAAAGGTTCCAAAACCACAATAAGATAAAATATTGAACTAATCAACAGATATCATCTATCAGCCAAACAATTGATCCCTGATTATGGCCAGTGGATACTTGATCAAAATGTATCTATGACAACATCTATGTCAACCAAGACAAGAATAGTTTAAAATAATACAAGTATACCCATATGAATTTACCCGTTAAAGAAGGCACACAATAATTTATATATTTTAGTAATTCAGAAAAATGAAAATTAATTAAACAGTGGCTTATCCATTTACAAATGAAAAATAAAGAGGTTTGTGGCTAAATAATAAGATTAATACAAGTGGAGAATATACATACACACACACACACACACACACATTTTGAATATGAATCTCTTGATTAATATACTTATGTCTACAGCCATTCTAATCAAGTTCATATAGATGGGTACATTAAATTTCTTATTCATAATTTTTCTTCTTGTCAGATACTCTAGTCAATCAAGAATTATAGTAAAAGACTATCCATTAACAGTAGCACTATAAAGTAGATAGTATTACACTAGTTGATAATACCAATCTAGTAAGATTTAATATACTTTTGTTATATTATACAATCAGTAGCATTACTATCAGCTTGTAGTACTAACTTTAGAAGTATTATACAGTGGATAGCATTACAAGTTCATCATAGTAATTTGGTAAGATTTTAATATATTTTAGTCATATATCATCAGTAGCATTACTATCAGCTTGTAGTACTAACTTTAGAACAATTATACAGTAGGTAACATTACTACTAAATCATGATAGTAATTTGGTAAGGTTTATAAAAAAATTTAGTCATATGATACAATAGTAAGTACCTCCACTTTTTAATGAAAAACATGATGAGAAAGACCGCAAATTTAATAAAAGCATTTTTATCGTCAAAATGTTTATTATCAAGAGGAAAGATGAAATTATTTTAATTATCTTAAAAAAAATTTTAATCCTTTCTAGCACATTCAAAATTCTTGGTTAAAAAAGTAGTTGACATAATAATTATGATTAGTGTTTGTGCACTTTTTTCCAGTGAAAAACACATTGATTTAGAAATTCTTGCAAAAATCAAGCAATTATCAGATTTTAATGAAACTTTCAGGACTTACTCATAAATGAATGAAATTATTTTGGAAATTTTTTTTTTTTTTTTAATCTTTCCAAAACTTTTTTATTAGTTAAAAGTGGGACTCCTTGGAGAATGCAAATCACCCAAATTTTTTTTTTTTTTCTTTTTTTTTTTTTTTTTTTTTTTTTTTTTTTAAACCTACTCACCCTTCCTTAAAATCTGCTCCAAATCTTAAAATTAAAAATGCAATAAAACTATAACATTATTTAATTAGAAAAGCTTTTAATTGCTTTTATAAATAAGATTTATTAAGGACACTTGTCTTTAAAAAAAAAAAAAAAAATTTTTTTCAATAATTAATGAATTTTTACAAGAATAGTTTTCATTTTTTTAAATTTTAATTATAATAATTTATAATAATTTAAATTGTTTAAAATTATACATTACTACCTTCCAATTAGGTGATATTGTAATTAAGTGGAAACTATATTTATGAATCAAAAATTGAAAATAAGAGCAATGACTATAGTAAATTTAAATTCAACATTCCTAAAAGTAGATTACAAAGAATATTATCCAACATTTTTAAGATTGCTGAGTACTTAAAAATGATATAAAAAAAAACATTCACCCATCATTTTCTTACATTATGTTTTAACAGATAAGGTCTCCGTAGAACAATAAAAAAAACTGTTAACACCTCATAAATCACTTCACAAGTGATTTACGAGGTGTTGACAAGCACTTAATTGCACTACTGTTTGTTTTAAAAATTCATTTCTGTTTTTTTAAATTTAAATAATTTTTTTTCAAATCAAATTAATTGTACTTTAAATCAGCTAATATTCCCCAAATAAAGTTTCAGAAAAGTATATTTTATTTTTGGAAGACTTTTAAAACCAAGAATTAATTTTTGTTTACAAATGTATTGAAAATGGCTGACTTTAAACAATTTCTAAAAACAAGCAAACAGTTGAGATTCTAATCAATATAATTTCTATTTGAAAAACACCAGAGTATTTTGCTTACTGAAAATAGTAAATTTAATCATTTAGCTTTCAATTAAAGCTAAAACCAAAGCTTCATGAATGCTTTTTCATTTTTAAAAATTAATTTTAAATCTTAAGTATCATGTTTTTTGTGGAGGTCCCTATACAATAGGTATGATGTGAATACAATGTAGCAGTTACTAGTGTAAAAAGTGGGATTGGTGAAGCCAGTTAAAATTATGACTGAAGCTGTTGCATTTGCTTTTGCACAAATTCTCTTTGGAAAGATGTATCAATTCATCTCATATCTTCCAGATATGGGTCAAATAGCAGGGGAACCACTATAGGAGAAAGACAACTCTAAATTAAAACTGGTTGTGTTTTGGACTAGCATCTTCACCTTCTAAAATCTTTGCTACTTAAACCACATTAGCAGTAGATAATATGGTGAAGCTGTGGCCCAATATGCCAGAGGGAGCCTTCAGATTCAACCAATCAAACTGGTGATTCAATAAGTAGCATTATCATCAGCTTATAATAGTAGTATTATGCAGTATGTAGCATTACTAGTAGCTTGTAATACTATTTTGGTAAAGCTTTAAAATATTTTAGTTTTATACAGTAAATAACATTACTACTATCCATAATACTAATTTGGTAAGGTTTAATATACATTCAGGAATTGGACATTTACAAAGAGACAAAACATGATGAAATAATACATAAACATGTTATATTGTGATTTTACTTGTTTTATTTTTGGACAGGATTTTCAAAAGTCGAGCAAGAAGAAATGCCAAATGCTAGAGTGAAGAAACGTAAATTTAAGAAACGAGAACGTAAGAATGCCCAGCAGATATTAAAGAGTCGAAGAATGAAAGCCAAGAAACAATCATATGAAAAATACAGACATGCGGAAAATATGAAAAAGAAAAAAAAGAATAAGAATAAAAATAAAAGTAGGAATTAATTCCTGCTTAAAACTGTTTATAATTTCATGTTTTTTTATGTGTTGTCTTTATTCATTCTGTGTTTGTTAATCAAGATGATGGGCTTTTTGAGCTACCTACAAATCCCGGGATAGTATGTGCTTGAATGTAACTAGTTTGTTGCCATCCTTTGTTGTATCATATCTAAAAAGAGACTATTTTAAATGTGATGGTGGCAACTAGATTTTAGGGTTTTTTAAAGGTCAAATTCAAATCTTCGGGAAAAACCTTGTATTAATAGCAAAATGGATTGATAGACACATCCAACAGGGAGGAATGATGCATATTTTATTTATTTTTATTGTAAATAATATGCAAAGAATCTATTTTTATAATACACCAAGTATTTTTTATCTGTAATCTTTTTACTTTACTAAAATTATCTCCTTACATTAGTGATTTAAAGACTTGCTTGTGAAAAAAAATAAGAGTCAAGACTTAACAAAATAAGCCATAATTTTTTTATTTTTTTTTAACTACTTAGAGATTCCAGTTGTTGTTCAACTTGTTCCACAAAAGCAGGGAAGTTTGGGTCAGCCAAACACAACTGCAAGAGTTTGCGGATATTACATGCTGGAAGGTGACTGTGTTGGTAGGCTTCTGCTAAATGATGAGCATCTTTCTTAGTTATTATCTGTAAAAGATAACAATGAAATTTCTTCTGAATACTTCAAAAGGCTCCCAAGATGTATGTTTTTTTTTGGGGGGGGGGGTTAATATTTCAAAATTTGTCTTATTGGTTAATTCTTTTTTAGTTTTAAGTTTTGGCAATCTTGGACCTTTGTGCCCATAAAAAGAAAAAAAATGGAGTGTCAAAAGAACAATTTTTCCATTGATATCATTATTATTATTTTGTCAACTACTTTCACTCCTCAGGAATGTTTGTTGTTTTAAAAAGTGATTATTAGAATTTTAATAAAACCTAAACATATGAAAGTGAATTTTTTATATGTATAATACACACACATGCCATAATTCTCAATATATAATATGCCTTCATCCATAATATGCACACCAGAAAGTGTGGGAAAATGCTTTTACTCACACATAATATGCACCCCATGTTTGGTAATCAAATCCTATAAATTGTGCAACTCCAATTTCATTACAGCCAGCATATCCTACTCTTATTAAAAAAATAGTTTTAAACAGAATAATATACTAATTTAGTTTTATGACAATTCTTATTTTATTTTACATTTGTAAGTATTGTTAGGTACATATGATTGTAGTGAGTAGTCATTTTGCAACTGAAATAAGCTTATGAAATGGCAATTTTTAAAAAACTTTTTGTAGCTGTGCATAATACACACCCTTGATTTTTTTATATATATATATATATATATATATATATATATATATAATTCTTGAGAATTTATAACTAAAATATTAAATGCAAGTTATTGTTTATTTACACTATTATATTGTTTTTTGGAATGGTTGTCAAAACATCGGCTAATTGCTAATAGATTCAAACTTTATAAAATGGTAAATAATAAGGATTTTCCTATAGTTGGTTCACATTTTTTAATAATTTAGTAAATGTTTATAAATTTATGAATAAAAAATTTTAATGTAATTGTATCTAACAACTATAGTTAACATGTGATTTTAGCATTTTGTACTGCCTTTAATGCAGGAAGTAATTTTTTGATGAATTCTTTTTATTGATAAAAAAAAAACTAACCAACACGTGGATTTAGCTCATCCCTCACAAACAGTAATTTGGTGAATTTTTCTTTGTGTGTAAGTTTAAACAATTAAAGTTACATCACAAATGTCAAATTAGTAATGCTTTCAGAAGTTGAACTCTGATTTTAAATCTGTGCAAAGAACAAATTTCATAGTCACATAGAACTTGTAAAATCCACAAATACTGTAAATATGAGAAATTCTGGTCTGATCTCAACATATTCTGTTAACGCAAAAATATTCTAATGTTTATTGCAGTAAACAAAAATCATTTTTTAACTGAAGAATAAATTTTTATAAAATGAAAAAATTGTTTTATAATTACATCCACACAGTCAACTGATGTATTTTTTTGGTTATCATAATTACAATGCAATTGTTAAGTTAGTGCAGAGTCTTGACAAAAATAAATAGACACCTATTTGCAAACAATCTAAATTGTCGAACACTCAAATATTCAACAATATACTGATTAAATTCTAGTGGATTTTTCATTAGCAAATTTTAATGTTGAAAGTTTTTTAATCATTTTTATTTCATGATCCAAAAAGGTTTACACTTGTCCAATATTAACCAACATTAGTATTTTGTCAAGTTGGCTTTTATTTATATTTTTTTCTGAAGCACCATGTGAATGATGCTGTTTTTAAACAAATAATTAATAATGAATGTTAGGAAAACTTACACCTGCAGCATAGATAGGCAATATCAATTCAGAAGCATACATGTTTGTTCCAGATAATTTAAATGTGTTTTTATACTAATCTTCCATTAATGCTTTCTTTGCCTCATTGTCCTGTCATTTCCTCTATAAAGAGTTTGTATTATTTGCAAATGCTAATTTATCACTAAGTTTCAGAGATTCTTCTCTGTTTATTCCAATTATTTTCTTATTCTGAAAAGAGGGCAAAAATAACTGTAATTAGCAGTTAAGTGACCTGGAGTTATCCCCCCATGAACAAAGTATTTTTCTCTAAATTTATATTTAATTAAAAATTACTTGGTATCTAGTGGCTCAGTTGAACTGGAAATTGCTTTCTTCATCAAATTAGAACACTATAATGTGGTGTTATTATTGTGTTATGGTAACAATTATGCTTTTTACTTCCCTCGTTTTTTGTTTTTTTTTGTGCTAATTTCTGATAATCCTTTATTCTTGATTTTCCATATTTTTATGGTAAAAAGCTTTGCAATACATTACTCAATTAAAATTGTATTTTCTATGACAGAATTATTAGCAATGCATTTACATTATACATCAGAGAAGAGCTAAAAAGTTCTCTGTTCAACGGGCAATCATTAATGCTTACTTTAATTCCTGATCAGTGACAACTTCTTTTTCAATGCATAATACATAGATTAAGCCCTAAAACTTGTTAAATAAATTTTAGGCAAAAAATTGCAAAATTTTGTGCTTTGTCAACATTTTCCATTTACTACCAGAATTTAGTTTGTCATTTCAGAAAATGATTAAAGCAAATTGTTAGGATATCAGTAAAGTCATTAATTGGAAATAAGAAAGATCTTTCTCTGCATGTACAAACATCTCTAAATTAATGCATTTTTGATTTGTGCACTAAAATTTTTATATACCAAAATTCAATTAGTGTATACATAATACTTGATTAGTGCAGTAAAACATTCTTTGGTTTAACCATAGTAATTGAAAATTGATTTTTTTTTTTATAGTTACAGATGTACACCATTAGCCACACTAATCAAGGGATTCTTGTACTGAGTTCAAATGCTGTCAACTGATTTTTGTTTTTCCTCTATTACCAGAATTTGCTGTATCACTTTATAATTTCTGGTGTAAATGAAAGTTTAGTAAATTCTATTCATGATAGCATGGCTTATATAAATTGTTAACTTGCAAAAGAATAAAAAAAAGACTACAGAAGTACTTACTTGTGCCATTTCTGCAAGGCTTATATCTCCCATTATTGTAGAATCTGTATTCATATTCACAAATTCCTAGAATAAATTTCAGAATTATAAGAATGTTAATTATTTAACAAACTTTTATCAATCCTTATTTTAACTAAATTTTCAATTCAATAATAAAAAGTGAAATTTTGAAGGTTAAAAAAATTGTACAATTTTTATTTGTAGGTTTATTTTCAAGAATACAAATTAATACAGAAGGTATTTCAGTATGGACTGGATACTAGTGCCTCATTAGTAATACTTGTTAACAAATAACACATCCATGAGAAGTAAATCTCTTATAAGAATAAAGTTTGAGTTCTTTATTTAACATGAAACATTAGTAAACTTATCTGCCTCAATAAAAATGGTTAAGATTTGGAAAGAAAAACTTAGCAGATTCTATCCTTTCAAATTACATACGGCATTTAAAAGAAACTTTTAGGTCATAAGTCACTTAATAAATGTCTGAGTTCTCTGTGCCACTAGATTTCTTTCTGGGTGAAAGCCAGAATTGAAGTTTTTGTGTCAGTGCAGAAAAACCAAGTGAAACTGCAATCTTCTCCTTGGTTCACTCCAGTCTGTTCAGCTGCTATAGCCCACAAGAATCACTTCTTCCAGCTGTAACAATGTGACAGTTTGGATCATAACAGATGCTTCTTTGTATCCACTTATAATGATCGTAATCATGTTTGGTGCTTCTATAAGAGTGTGTTAAACAAGTAAACTCCCAATCCCTCCTCTCTTCAATCAGTTTGAAGTATTGTCATCTACTGGTGATAAAGCAAAATGCTTAGAAATTCTCTTCCAACTCCACTCTAAATTCATTTTGAGTATCTTTGCCAAATTTCCCCAGTAGAACAGAATCTCTATTGAGTGATATGATGCACATAACTCCATCCATGGCTTCTGCTATCATCTCAAAACTAAATCCCCCCACACACACACACACACACACACACAAAGCATGCAGACTTGATGATATCTCTGCAATTCTAAGGAAATGTGATCCTGTTTTTTTTCAAACTCTACAACAATTCCCTTGCTGCATCTTATGTCTCAGCTTGTTAGAAATCCTCTTCTGTAGTTCCTGTCTTTAAGAACACTGGTGAACCTTTTGACCCCTAGAATTGTTCTCTTAGTCTTTTACCACTTTTTGGCAAATTACTAGAGGCTCTAATCAACTCCGAATTGGTTAAGCATCTCCTTTCACATAGCCTGTTTTCAGATAAAGAATATGGCTTTCATTTCTCTATGCCAACTGCCTATGTGTTGATAACTGAATTTGTCTATCAAGTTTTAGATAAGATCTCCAAGGCTCTGACAGTGGCTGTAGATATCTTGAAGGCATTTAACAGGGTTTGGCATGCTGGCTGGCTTCACTCTGGGCAAATATCTAACAATCTAATCATTCTTAAATTTAATGAAAGTCGTGTTAAATGGTCGCGCTTCTAGATCATTTCACATTAATGCAGTGATCCCCTAGGGCTCTAACCTTAAACCTTTGTTGTTTCTTGAATTAAATTCTTTCAATGACCTTCCCAATGTCATCAGTTTCCAACTTGGTATTTATACTGATAACACAATTTACTGCTGTCTGATAGGTCCAACAAAGTAGAACTGGTAGCTGCTCTCAAAAATAACCTTCAATCAGTTAGTTGTTAACTGACGCAAGAAATATCTTATAAAATTTAACACCACCAATATGAAACTGCTATCTTTTAATAATCTTAAACTTTTTTTGCCTTCCGTCAGGATGGCTGACATTAACCTCCAGGATAGCAACTCATTGTATCTTCTTAGTCTTACATTTTCCACTGACATGAAGTGGAAAGATTATATTGAATCAGTTGCTAGGTCTGCTGCTAAGAAAGTTGGTTCACTGAGTTGTGCCAGGCAATTTTTCTTACTAGAATCCATCTCGCACATTTATAAATTTATCATTCATCCATGCCTTGAATATTGCTGCCATATCTGGTGTAGAGCTCCTGCTATATATCTAGAGATTC